TTAATTTTATGTGTCAGCCTGGCTAGGCCATGATGCCCAGTATTTGATCAAACATTGTTCTGGGTGTATCTGTGACGGTGTTTCTGGGGGAGATTAACATTTGGTGGACTGGGTAAAGCAGGTTGCCCTCCAAAATGAGGGTGAGCCTTGCCCAATCGGAGGACTGAATAGAACAAAAAGTTGACCCTCCCATGAGTGAGAGGGACTGCTGCCCAACTGCTTAGTCTGGGACATTGGTCTTTTCTTAGCTTCAGACTCAACGGAAACATCAGCTCATGTAGGGTTTCAAGCCTGCCGGCTCTCAGGACGGAGCTAATGGTCGGGTGTCCTGAGTCCAGCTCTCCAGCTGCAGCTCTCAGGACTTCTCAGCCTCCATAACCATGTGAGCCGATCCCTTATAATCAATCTCTACCCATATCTATATCCTGTTAGTTCTGTTTCTCTGGAGAACCCTGACTAATACAACTGTATGCTACACTTGTCACGATCAATGAACCAATATTGGTACATCATTATTAAGTAAATAAAGTCCATACTTTATTCATATTTCCTCAGTTTCCCTCTGATGTCCTTTTCCTATTCCAGGACCCTATCCAGGGCCCCACATGACAGTCACTCGTCACATCTCCTTAGGCTCCTCTGGGCTATGATAGTTTCGCAGGCTTTCCTTGTCTTTGGTGACCTGGACGGTTTTGAAGAGAACTGTTCAGGTATGTCATAGGGTACCCCTCTATTGGAACTTGTCTCCTGTTTTTCTCAGGATTCTCTGGGGTTATGAGGTTTGGGAGGACGACCACAGAGGTAAAGCACCCTTCTCATCACATCATGTCAAGGGCACAGACTATCAAGGGCACAGACACATCAGTATGGACTCATGGGTATTTGTCTTATGCCTTGGATTACAATCAATAGTACTTCATTTTGTTGCTCAAATGTTTCCAGACTTGGTGTTGGGAGTTCTTTCTTTTGGCTTCTGTGTCCCTTTGGCATACCCTTTTCATTATGGAGTTTTTTGGGTTTTTTTTTTTAATTTGTTTTGAACACTTTCTTACTTACTGGCACAGTAAAATGCTCCAGACTCTCCTTGTATATTTTCTGCCCCAGTGCTAGAATAAGCCAAGGAACCCTGGTCCCTTTTATTGGTGAATGGCACTAGAAACCAGGATCCGGGCACCACGTAGATATACAACATTATGCACCTGTCAAAATTCATAGAACTTTACAGCACAAAGAGTGAACATTAATGTCTGCAGACTAAAAATACCACTTGGGATGTCAGGGGATCCAAGGGCTAACACAGTGTATGTCATGAAAGAATCTAACCATATTACACATGTACGAATGAATCTCAGGGAAGGGAGTGGGGGAAAGGTGGTGACTTAAGTAACTTCAGAAATGAGTGGAGTCTGGGACTTCCCTGGTGGTCCAGTGGTTAAGAATCCACCTTCCAATGCAGGTGATGTGGATTCGATCCCTGGTTGGGGAACTAAGATCCCACATGGCGCCTGGCAACTAAGCCCACGTGCCGTAACTGCTGAGCCTGGGTGCCACAACTAGAGAGAAGCTGGCGCGCCGCAGTGAGGAGCCCTCACGCCGCAACCAAGACCAGACACAGCAAACAATAAATAAATACATAATATTTTTTAAAAATGAGTGGAGTCTGTAAGAATAAAGGCAAAAGAAACTGCAAATAAGCACTGTACTCCAGGTTATAAAGTAGTTTCCCATGGGGGAGTGTGTGTGTATGTTTATATATGTTTATATATAGTTTTATATAAAATAAATATATAGGGCTTCCCTGGTGGCGCAGTGGTTGAGACTCCGCCTGCCGATGCAGGGGACATGGGTTCATGCCCCGGTCCGGGAAGATCCCACATGCCGCGGAGTGGCTAGGCCCGTGAGCCATGGCCCCTGAGCCTGCGCGTCCGGAGCCTATGCTCCGCAACGGGAGAGGCCACAAGAGTGAGAGGCCCGCGCACCGCAAAAAAAAAAAAAAAAAAAAAAAGAACTCACACTGTGGAGAGAGAAAAGTGAATGTGCTTTTAGGAGAAACACAGCCGTGGCCTGTGTGCGAAATCCGTCTGCGCAGCATCTCAGGCTCAACGAGGGGATCAGTGAGGGCCGCCCTGGGTCTTCAGGATGGGGCTGTGGCCAGGGGCCCCGTGATGGCCCAGCGCTGTGCAGGGCCAGATTCTGTCCACAGCTGAGCTCTAAAACATCTGCTTTTGCGGTCTAGGCTGCTGCTTTCCCTGGCAAAGCCCCCTCTGCAGAATCCCAGCGTGTCAGAGGAGCTAAGTCAGGGGCAAGTCGAAGCATCTGGGACCCCACACAGGGCTCACAGGGCTCTGGCAACTGAGGCCAGACGTTGCTCAGGGCTTGTCTCCAGGACCCTAACTCTTCGGAGACCCTGCCCCCTCCTCTGCTTTGCTGGGCGCTGCCCACACTGTGGTCTGGAGGGAGGGTCTCGTCCCTGCTCTGGGCCTGGCCCAGGTGGGGCTGCTCCAACACACCAGGCAGGCACACGGCTCCGTCCTCTCAGGCCTCTGTGGGAACAAGAGAGACTTGTTCACGTTCTTTAAAAAGCACAGAGTGCCCCTCCCACCAGGAAGTGTGCTGGCGGTGTGTCCTTCAGGCTCTCCCGTCACCCCTCCTGCTCTGTGCCCGGGAGGCTGCCCATGTGGAGGGCAGCAGCAGGAGTTTAGGAGCAGGAAAGAGTGAGGAGGGCGCCCTGGGGGAGGTGTGAGTGCGGATAAACAGAGCCTTCCTCGCCTTCTCCCTGCGCCTTCCTTGGGGAGAGGTGGGGACTGTCTGTCTTAAATAGAAACAAAACTCGTAGGTAGAATGGGAACCTCTGTGGACCCTTTCCTCCTGGGGAAGGGGCAGCAGAACAGAGGCTCCCAGGACTCTGGGTTCCCTCTCCAAGGGCAGCTCTCAAGGCTCCTGAAGGAAGCAGGACTGAACACAGGGATGACCTGTGGAGCCTGAAAGGCAGTGATGATGCCGCAGCCCCTGTTCTTGCAGACACACTCTCACAGAAATGCACACTCAGAGACATACTGTGTTCGTTTCCTGTGGCTGCTTAGCCATTACTACAAACTCGGCGGCTGAAAACAACACACATGTATTCTCTTACAGTCGTGGAGGGCAGAAGTCCAAAGTCAGCTTCACTGGGCTGAGGCCCAGGTGATGGCTCAGCCGCTCTCCCTCTGGAGGCCCCAGGGGAGAATGTCTTCCTTCCCAGCTGAATCTCCAGCTTCTAGGGCTGTGTTCCTTGTGCTCCTTGCCTCGTGGCCCCTTCCTCTATCCTCAAAGCCTGCAGCCTGGCCTCTTGCCTCAGTGTCACACTGCCTTCTGCCTGTGTGCCAAAGCGCCCTCTGTCTCCATCCTATGACACTTGTGATGACATTCAATAATAACTATGCAGGATAATCTCCCCATCTCAAGATCCTGAATTTAACCACACCTGCAAAGCCCCTTTTGACATTTCAGGGAACATTCACAGGTTCCAGGAACTAGGAGCTGATGTCTTTGGGGACTATCGTATAGCCTACCATAGATACGTTTACGCAAACACAGTGTTAGGGTGGCCACACCAGCAGACACAGACATACACACACCCCCACATTACACACAGGCAGACGCTGTCAGTAGAAACCCGCGTTCCTGGGGTCCCACGCGGTCACCCATCAGTCACACACATGCCTCACGTCCAAAGCTCTTCCCATCAGCCTGCTTAAGCCAGGTTTGGGAGGCCGCAGAGCACTTCCCTGTCCCATTTTCTCCTGGCTCCCGGGTGACAGCCTTCCTTTCCCCAGTGACACTGTGCATGTCCCTCCTTTGCCCCCTCTACCTAGGAAGCCCTCGCTCACCTCTGCCTTCAGAATTTAACCAATCTTGAGGCCTTAAAGTTTAAGGTCTTGTTCTGAGCCAGCCACCTCCTCCATACAGCCCACCTTGCTCTGCAGTTACCTCTCACAACCATGCCTCGCTGCCACACCCCATGGGTTCTTAGAGAACGTGAACTGAATAAAGGAACAGTAGAAAACCAAAGGTCACTGAGCAGAGCTCTTAAACACCGGTCGTGCGAAGGTGCCACGGTGCCTGAGTTTGGGAGCTTGGTGACTGTCGGACAGACATCTCAGTGTTGGCCAAGCTAGAGCACCTGGGTCTGGGGCATGGACGGGGCCAGACAATGCCCCCAGGCTATGGCTCCAGTCAGGCTAGGGAGGGGTCGCCTCTCTGATCCCCACCTCTGCCCCTGAGTGCTAGACCTCGGGGCCAGACTCTGGAGACCAGCCAGAGGCTCCCGCTCTGGGTGAGTGCGGCTGGCCTCAGCCCTCTGGGTCCTCCACCTCCCCCTGCTGCCTTCCTGGGGCTTCACGCCCTGTGTCCTTCACACATCCTTCCTCCGCCGACTCCATCCCCCCAGAGGGCATCTGTGGAGTCTGTCCTCCACCAGGGGCTCAGTCTCTGCCTCTGGTGCAAGGCCCTCAGGCTGGGCCTCACCAAAGGGTCCAGTGAGCACGGATGTCCTGGGCAATTCTGGAACACAGCCTGGACCAGGTGGTGAGTCCAGCTCCCTGCTGAGGCCAACTGCTCCGGGCTCCTGGGTAAGAGAACGGAGGGAAAGGAGGGAAAAGGGGGAAAGGGGAGAGCACAGGCCCTGGTAGACATCTTATCTTGGACGTTTGACCTGGATGCGTGGAAAAGAATGAGCAGAAAGGTAGGTGCGGAGCAGGAAGGCACCCCCTAACTCTGGGGTCAGAGGAGGCCAGTGCCCGCCCAAAGCTTTGGAACGCCTTGGAGCGAAGTCCTCCGTAGGGGTGCTGGGAGGAGAGGACGACCCTCCCGGTAGAGCGCTATCGAGCGTTGGCCTGGAGCCACCTGGATAGATGGGGGCCGCGTCTAAGCCCCTGCCGCTCGTGGGCGCCCGGGGCTGGGGTCCGGAGCTGCGGGGAGGGGCCGGGGTCACCGGGGCACGGCATGCGTGCTAACCCCGTGCGCCCGCCCTCAGCACGGAGGCCCGCGCTGCCGCCGCCCGGGAGGTGCTCCTGGCTGCGCTTGAAGACCTAAGCCAGGAGCGGTTGAAGCGCTTCCGCCACAAGCTGCGGGACGCGCCGCTGCACGGCCGCCGCAAACCGTGGGGGCGGCTGGAGGGCACGGACGCCGTGGACCTCGCGGAGCACCTGATCCATTTCGACGGGCCGGAGCGCGCGCTAGACGCGGCGCGAAAGACCCTGAAGAGGGCGGGCGTGCGTGATGTGGCGACGCTGCTCAAGGAGCAGCGGCTGCGGAGTGAGCGCGGGGTCCCCGCCCTCCGTTCCCTCCCGCCTGGGCAGAGTCCTGGCCACAGGCCTCCATCCTTCCACTTCCCCAGAAAAGCCCCGGAGCTCTTCCGGCCTGGGCGCGCTTCGTCCACAAGTTCGCGGGCCCCAGGGCTCCGATCCTGCGGGTGGCCCCGACCCCTGATTGCGCCCCTCCCCGCACCGCACAGTCGGCGGGCCCTCACAGCAGTCCTCCCTTCCAGGGCTCGGCCTCAGCTCCTAGGCGCTGCTCTCCGCGTCCGATAGGTCTCTCTCGGCGGGAGGCGCAGGCCCCGAGCTTTCCGGGCCTTGAGCCCTGGGTTTGGAGTACGAGTGTCCTCGAAGTCACTCGGAGGTTCCTGACAGCTGGTCCCAGGGAGGAGCGCGGATGGGAGGGGGACTGTGGCGCAACAGGGGAAACTGAGGTCTGAGCCCGGCGGGGAGGGAAACAGGCCCCTGAGAGTCGGCTGACACAGCCCGCCTCCTCCTCGACCCCCGTTCCCCTCTCCTCTGTCCGGCCCTTCCCTGCCCCCAAGAGTACAAGAAGAAATACCGAGAGCACGTGCTGCGGCAGCACGCCAAGGTGAAGGAGAGGGACGCTCGCTCCGTGAAGATGAGCGAGCGCTTCACCAAACTGCTCATCGCGCCCGATAGCGCTGCCCTGGAGCACGAGGCTCCGGGGCCCGCGGAAGAGCCGGAGCCGGAGCGCGCTCGGCGATCCGACACCCACACCTTCAACCGCCTGCTCGGCCACGACGGGGAGGGCCAGAGACCGCCGACCGTGGTGCTGCAGGGCCCGGCGGGCATCGGCAAGACCATGGCGGCCAGGAAAATCCTGTACGACTGGGCGGCGGGCAAGGTGTACCACGGCCAGGTGGACTTCGCCTTCTTTGTGTCTTGCCGCGAGGTGCTGGAGCGACCGCGCACGTGCAGCCTGGCCGACCTGACCCTGGACCAGTATCCCGACCGCAACGCGCCGGTGCGACAGATGCTAGCGCAGTCCACGCGGCTGCTGTCCATTCTGGACGGCGTGAACGAATTGCCGGCGCCAGGGCCCGCCGAGGCCGCGCCCTGCACAGACCCCCTTGAGGCCGCGAGCGGCGCGCGGATGCTGGGCGGCCTGCCGAGCAAGGCGCTGCTGCCCACGGCCCGCGTGCTGGTGACCGCGCGCGCCGCCGCCCCCGGGAGGCTGCAGAGCCGCCTGTGCTCCCCGCAGCGCGCCGAGGTGCGCGGCCCCTCCGACAAGGACAAGAAGTACTTCTACAGGTTCTTCCAGGACGAGTGGAGGGCGGAGCGTGCCTGCCGCTGCGCGAAGGAGAATGAGACGCTGTTCTCGCTGTGCTTCGCCGTGTGCTGGACCGTCTGCCCCGTTCTGCGCCAGCTGCTCCAGGTCCTGACCTGTCGCGCACCTCCAAGACCACCACGTCCGTGTACCTGCTTTTCATCGGCAGCGTCCTGAGCTCGGCGCCCGCGGCCGACCGACCCCGCCTGCAGGAAGAGCTGCACAAGCTGTGCCGCCTGGCCTGCGAAGGCGTCGTCGGGGGCAGGGCGCAGGTCTCTGAGAAGGACCCGGAACGACTGGAGCTTTGCGGCTCCAAAGTCCAGGCGCAGTTTCTCAGCAAGAAGATGTGACAGGCGTGCTGGAAACCGAGGTCACCTACCGGTTCCTCGACCAGACCTCCCAGGAATTCTTAGCCGTGCTGTCCTACCTGCTGGAGGACGAAGGGCTCCCCAGACACCTGCTGGCGGCGTAGGGGCACTTCTGCGGGGGCACCCGGAGCTGCGTGGCCACCTCGCGCTCACTACGCGCTTCCTTTTCGGGCTACTGAACACAGAGAGGATGCGCGACATCGAGCACCACTTCAGCTGCGCGGTTTCAGAGCGCGGGAAGCAGGATGTCCTGAGGTGGGTGCAGGATCAGGGCCAGGGCTGCCCTAGGGTGGCACCAGAGGGGACCGAGGGGACCCAAGCGCTCCGGGGCGCTGGGGAGTCAGAGGAGGAGGAGGGCGAAGAGCTCAGCGACCTGCTGGAGCTGCTGTACTGCCGGTACGAGACGCAGGAGGGCGCCCTTGTGCACCAGGCCCTGCGCGGCCTTCCTGAGCTGGCACTGGAGTGAGTGCACTTCAGCAGAATGGACCTGGCCGTCCCGAGCTACTGCGTGCTGTGCTGCCCGGCGGGGCAGGCCCTGCAGCTGGTTAGCTGCAGACTGGCCACTGCCCAGGAGAAGAAAAAGAAGAGCCTGATGAAGTGGCTACAGGGCAGCCTGGGAGGCAGCTCGTGAGTCCCCAGAGCAGGGCGGCCCTCTCCTGCAGGCCCTCTGTGTGCGGCATATGTGCATCTTATGCACTGAAGTGTCCATCTGGGCCTGGGGAGTGTGTCCAGACCTGACACCTGCTCCCCAGAGGAGAGGCACGACTTCAGGCTGGTTTTCCCACCTCCTTGCAAGGCAGCTCCCAGGGTGTCCTCACCATGCCCCGCACCTCAGCACCCACATCTGAGGCAACCCTCCCAGCAGCCCCCCACCCACCACGATGCCTTCTCATAAGTCCTGGCGTATACCACGCCCTCTGTGCCCTGAGCCTTTGCTTCTACTGTTCCCTCCACCCAGAATACTGTTCACTGCCTATCCTCAAAGCCTCTCCAAGCCATCCCAGCTGGCCTGAGACCATTTTGGCCTCAGAAATGCCCCACTGACCACCGTATGCCATGACATCTGCCCGTGCCCATCTCCTCCACCAGACCCTCTGCTCCTCCAGGGGCAAAGCTCGTGCCGTTGTTTCTGTGCAGTTAATTCCAACCCAGCACCTGACTCAGGTGCTCAGCATCTGTTGGGAGAATGAATGTCAGGACGTTGACAGGGGCTGGGGCTGCCCACTGCAGGTGCAAGGACAGGCCTACCTGGTGTGTGCAGGTGACATGCCTCCATGGGACTCACATAGACAGCTTCAGTGGGGAGGTACTTGTGGTCACAGTTGAGTGGTTTCACTCTGGGCTTGGGATGAAGAGGGAGGAGGGTCCTGGCCCAGCTTGTGGGTGAGGGCAGAAGCAGCTCCAATACCTCAGGACCATAGGAAGGAGTCCTTTGTGGGAGTGAGGGATTGGAAGGGGCTGGGGCCTTCACCTTCCTTTCTCTCTTAGTAGCTCTCGAACCACCATGAGAAAACTCCTGGGCTCCCCACTGCATCCACTCTGTGAGTGGACCGACCGACAGTGTGGTCTGAACACCCTGATGTGAGTGAACATGCCCCCAGCCCTTCCCCTGGAAGGGATGCAGAGCAGGACACCCTGGGCAGGGACAGAGGTGTGGCCCTGTCTGGGGATGGCTGAGAGGACAGGCTGAGAACCTGTGGCCTCTGGTGTCCCTTGCTGGGGTCGACAGGCTCTGCCCACACAGGACAGAGGAGGGAAGAGGGGATGGGGGCAGGGCTCCAGCACCAGCTTAGGTGCTAGTTAGGACAGAGGGCTTGGCCCCAGTCTGAGTGGGAAGCAGAGTCCAGCTGAGCATCCTGGGGGAGGGATAAAGAAGGCCAGACTGTATTTCCCTCCCCAAGGAAGGCTGCTCAGTGCTATTGTGAACTGCTGGGCGGTCCCTCTGGATTCTTACAAGCAGATATGGAAGGCGTTCAGGGCGCGGGCTCTGAGGCCTGTCCGCCGTCTGAGCTTCAGTTTCCTCCCCTGGGAAATGGAGCCAGTAGCTTCCACCTCAGAAGGTTGATGTGAGGATTAATGAGGCAGTACTTAGTACATAATCTTTCCAAGGACTGTTCACCACCACCAAGTAAGCAGAAAGTAAGAAAGGCTGTAGGAACTAGTACCGAAGGGGCATGTGGTGAAATAGGCACAGTCCTGTGTCAGTGGTGACACAGGGTAACTTAACCTGCATAAACGTCAGGAGCCGAAACAGTGATCAGCTCACTTGGCCCATTAGTTCTGCTGCCCGGCTAAGTGCGTGAAGATGTTCCTCGCAGCATTGTTTATAATGCCCAGCTAACTAAATGAGCTCAGCCCACCTGCACTTGGTGGGTGACTATATGGAGTTAGACATATTAAGAACAAGGTCTCTTATTGGCTCATCCAGAAGCTGGTGGAGAATGCCCTGAGGGAAGAGGGGAGTGCAGTCCAGCAGGGACACACATGGTGACAAAGGGCAGGAGAAGCTCTGTGGGGCCCAGGGAGGCAGGTGTGCAGCCAGCACGTCTGCAGACTGAACCTCAGCCCCCAGGGAGTGGGCAGCTTGCACGGCTGGGGACCCATGTACCTCCTGACCACAGGCTGTCCCGCTGCAAACTGCCCGACTTGGTCTGCAGAGACCTCTCTGAGGCCCTGACGGAGCTGGGCCTCTTCCACAGCTGGCTCAGCGAGGCCGGCCTGCATGCGCTGAGTGAGGGCCTGGCCTGACCCCAGTGCCGGCTGCAGACACTCAGGTGAGGGCCGGCCTGGAAGGGACCAAGGGGGAGACGGGGGCTCCCATGGCAGCTCCTGCAGTCAGCACTGCCCGCGAGGGTGCAGCAGCTGGGCCTCCAGGAGGCTCCCAGTATGTGTTTGGCCTGCTCCAGCAGAGCCCAGCGCTGACTACCCTGGACCTCAGTGGCTGCCAGCTGTCGGGGACTATGGCGACCTAATTGTGTGCCGTCCTGCAGCTCCCAGGGTGCCGCTTGCAAAGCCTCAGGTGGGGGCAGCGCCGGGAAAGGTGCGGGAACACAGCCTCTCCACCCTGGCTTGGGGTGGGCGCCAGGGGCTTCCCCCAGACCTCACAGAGGAGTCCCGCCCAGGGCCCTCCCGAGGGACCCTGCTGAAACTCAGCCCCTGGAGACCCACCCCCTAAATCCCTGGCCCCAGCCCTGGGCTTCAACCACTCCGCCAGACCAAATGTCCATCTAGTGTCTGGTGCACATGGCCACAGTCTGGACCGGCACGCTTTCACTCCCCTGAAGGCTCTGGCCCCTAGGCCCTACCCGCTGCCCCGGCCTCTGACAGCCCCCTTAGTGGCTGCCTCCCGTCCCTGTGTGCCTTCGGCCTAACCCAGGTCAGCAGCTCCCCATCGCTGCCTCCCCGAGCCCTGGCCTCCTTCCCCCACCAGCTCCACTGCCGTCCTCTGCACACGGCTACAGTCTAACGTCCGTGGAGCTGAGCGAGCGGTCACTGCAGGAGTGGCGGGCCCTGGGGACAGCAAAGGCGGGACTGGCCGTCACCCACCCAGCATTGGACAGCGACCCCCAGCCTCACAAAGGGCTCGGCAGTGACCCCTGAGGCCCTGGGGGAGGGCTCTAGTCAGCCCTACGGAGTAGCCCTCCCCACTCCAAGGGCGAGAGGTTGGTGTTCTCTGCTGTGGGCAACTCTTGAGCCTGAGGGGCCCTGGACAGGCAGGTGGGAGACCCAGAGAGACACGGCCCCTTACCTGCTCCTGGACAGCCCCCGAGACCTCCCCACACCCTGGGGACAGGTATGTCTCTGTCCTCCCCACCAGGAGGAGGGGGTCCCCTCCCCTAACCCCACTGCTGCCCCACCCACGTTCCTCTTCTGGGACCTCCAGCCCTCCCATTGCAGGCGCCCCTCAGCAACAAGGGTGACGCTGAGCGCCCCCGGGAATTGAGGACCTACAGTGTGTTGGCCTTTACCTGGTGCAGGATGACCCGTTTGCTGATCCTGTGCCCATGCACAGTATGGGCACCCAGAGCCCACTACTCGGCTCCAGCCATAGGGCATCAAGCAGGGGCTGACCCGTGGCTGAAGGTAGGTGGGTCACCGTCCCTCCTCAGGAATTTGGGTCTCAGCATTAGGAGTGAAGCCATCCCTGAGGCTGTGTGGTCTGAGCCCAGAGGTGTCCACTCGCTGTCTGAGGACTTCAGGAACAGGCCAGAGGAGAGTGGACAGGAGCAGTAGCCCCTGCTCCGGATGGGAGCTGTGATGGCGCATGTGGTGGGCAGCGCCCCCGTGCACTGATGATAAATTCTCCTTGGGATTTGTTTTTGTCGGTTTCTGTTGCCCTTAGCCAGGCATCCTAACAGGTGTTCATACTCTTTCCTTTGGTCCCCAGCCCATCTCAGTGGGACAGGGTTGTAGCCCCCGTTTCCTGGGTGAGCTCAGGGGAACACCCTGATGCAGGAAGCTCTGACGTGAGGCTTGGCCTCCATGGGCAGGGCCAGCGACTGACAGCCCCCGAATCCTGAAGTCTTCTCTGCTCAACCCTGCTGGACTTGGCCAGCTTCTGGGACCCCAGTCAGCCCCTCCACTTCCCCAAATTCCCTTCCATAATCCAGTTATTCATTCCACAGAACAGACCAAAAATCCCTGCCCTCCTGGAGCTGGTATTCTAGGAGGAAGGGAAAGCAGGGGGCTGGGGGGATGGAGCCAGTGGTTTCCTCTTACATGTAAGTAGTCTGGGAACATCTGGTTGTGGACGAGGCATTTGAAAACGGAAGGAAGGGAGGGACCAACCCTAAGGATGTCCTGAAGAAAAGGCAGTGGGATGGCAAGTGTAAAGGCCGCAAAGGGGCCTGTCTTGGTTGGCTGCTGCTGTAACAAAATACCATACACCGGGTGGCTTGTCAGCAAGATAAGTTTATTTCTCGTAGCTCTGGAGGCTGGGATGCCCAAGGTTAGGATGCCAGTCAACTTGGTGTCTGGTGAGGAGCCTCTCCCTGCAGATGGCCGTCTTCTGGCTGTGTCCTCACGGGGTAGAGAGAGGGCGAGCTCTCGGGCCTCTTATAAGGGCAGAAATCCCGTTCTTGACAGCTCGTGACCTAATTACGTCCCAAAGGCCCCACCTCCAAATACCATCACACTGGGGATTAGAATTCAACGGATGGGTTTGGGGGGATCACATTCAATCCATAACAAGGAGCGAGCTTGGTGCAGAAGCAGCAAGGAAGCCAGGGTGGCAGCAGCGGGATGGGGGAGGGGCTGAGGGCGGGGAGGCAGCCCTGGGTAGCTTGTCCTGCCGGTGAGGTGGGCACCACTGCAGGCTGTGAGAACTTGCCCACTCCTGGGGTAGATGTGGCTCTGGCTCTGCTGACAAGGGCTGTGGGGCCAGAGCAAGGACTGCACTAACCCAGGAGCACGGCCTGGTGAGAGCGGGCACGCCCTGGAAGGGGGACGCGCCGGTGGATGTAGGTGGGGGGACAGCAGGCCTGAGCAGCGGGATGGGTGAAGTCACCACGGCCTGTGCTGGGCAGGCCACGGCAAGGGCAGGTTTCAGGGACACGTTGAATTCGAGTGTCTCTGGCTGGGCGAGTGGTCAGAGCACAGTCATTCGGGTCAGACCAGGGCCAGAGAGACGAGGTCCAGACAGCCCCAGGGCCTGGAGCCTCCAGCGGGGCAGGGGGCAAGTGGGTAGAGGCTGAGAGACGAGGCTGGGAAGAGCCAGAAAGTGGGGCGGGGACAAAGGAAGGCGGGGCTCCAGGAGGGGGACCTGCCTCACCTCTCCGGGGCGGACGGGGGTTCAGGGAGAGAGGCAGGACCCGGCGGCAAGAGAGGGGACACCTAAGCCGAAACCCCGCCCCTCTCAGTTCCACCCTTGGAGAAGACTCAAGGGAGAGTTGGAGCTGGGCTCCTCGCAGCCTCGCAGGCACGACTGGTCGAGGCAGCCCGCCCCACCCGCGCCCCGCCCGCCCCGGGGGTGGGGACGTTCCATCCGGCCCGCGCTGCGCGCCCTGGGGCGGGGACCGCGGGGCCTTCCGGTGACAAGGCCGCTCCTGGCTACTTCTCCCTCCGGTCCGGCGGCCACCCGCTGGAGCCGAGGGACGCTGCTGGGCTGCGGCGAGCCCCAGGGACGCGGCCGACGGCCCGCCTGCCCCCCAACCCCCAGCTGCTGCCGGCACCCCACCCCGTACCCAGCCGGCCTCCTGGAGGGTGAGGCCCGCCGGCTGAGGCCTCCTCCCTTCCCGCCAGCTGGACGGCTTCGAGGCAGTGCGCCCGGAGAGAGCTGGAAGGGACTGAGGCCCTAAGGTGGGAGTCCGGGGCCTCTGCTGTGTCCCTGGAGATCAGTATTGGGGGCGAGGGTCTCTGAGGGTTGAGGGTGTTTCCTGGGGTGGCTTGAGAGTGGGGTTCTGGACAGTCGGGGCTGCCCAGGTGGGTCACACACGTCCCTCCACCCGTGGGGGCATTAACCAGGTTCCAAGGCAAGCTTCGGGGTTTACAGAAAAGGGAGGCCCAACCAACGGTGGGGGCCTCTGACTCCCCCTTTTGCAGGCCCCTCCGCTGAGCCAACCTTGCCATGGAGGATGCTGGCAAGGACGCCACCAGATTCACTGCCCATTCTCTGCCCAGTGACCCCCGGCTCTGGGCCACCGTGACCAATGCCTACTTGGGCACACGCGTGTATCATGAGACACTGCATGTGAGCGGAGTGTACAATGGGGCTTGGGGGGATACGCACCGGGCCATTCTGCCCAGTCCCCTCAATGTCCAGTTGGAGGCCCCTGCAGGATCAGGAGAGCAGCTGACCAAGACCTTTGTCCTGGACACTAACACAGGTAGCCACTGCCTGACCTCCCCCTCCCCTCCGCCATTGTTCCAAGTGAGTGGGAGACCCGACAGAGGTCCCATCGAGAGGATGCCGACTCCCAAAGAACAGGAAGCTCTGAGAGGCCACTTTGTGAGGCCTTCAGCCCGACAGGCCTCCTGGGCTGGCAGGAGCTGGCGGCGCCTGTGCAGCTGTCGCTTCCCAGACAGGGCATCTGGGGCTTGGAGGTGACTCCACTCCCCGCCGGCAGCTTTGGAACTGTCCTCCGCGGCCCTGAGTGGGGTGTTCGAGTTGTCCTGTCTTCCCCTCCCCACCCCCGCCCCGCCAGGCTCCTTTCTGCACACCCTGGAGGGCCCCAACTTCCGGGCCTCCCAGCGCATCTATGCCCACCGCACGCTGCCTCACGTCCTGGCCTTCAGTGTGTCCATCACCCGCTTGGCCACAGGGAGCTGGCCCATCACCGTGCTGCTGCAGTCAACCTTCTCCCCAGAAAGCCCGGACCTGGACCTGCATCTGGGTCCTGACTTCCAGGGAGCCCGGTGAGGAGGGGGCGGGGGGCCGGCTGGGTAGCCCGAGGGAGCCCGTCCCTGAGACACAGCCATCCCGTTGCAGGTACCTGTACGGCCACACACTCACCCCCGAGCAGCCTGGGGGGGCACAGCAGGAGGTGCACATGCTGTGGACGCCGGTGCCCCCAGCCTTGACCCTTGGGGAAGGGGAGGAGGATGGGACGTGGGAGTTCCTGACGGTGGTGGGTGGCAGCCAGGCCGAAGCCCAGGCCTGCCTCACCGATGCCCTGCAGCTGCAGGCCAGGCGCACTCTCTACATGGCCCATGCACAGGCCTGGGCCCAGCTCTGGGCAGGCTGTGGCCTGGATGTGGAGGGGCCCCTGCGTCTGCGCCAGGCCCTGCGTGGAGCTCTCTACTACCTGCTCAGTGCCCTGCCCCAGCCCGGGGCCCCAGGATACGTCTGCCACGGCCTCAGCCCAGGCGGCCTCTCCAACGGGAGCCGTGAGGAATGCTACTGGGGCCACGTCTTCTGGGACCAGGTGCGCGCCAGCCACCCTTAACGCACACCTGCTGCAGAGCCGGCTGTACACAGAGCTGCTGCCTCTATCCTGCATGGGGTGGGGCTGTGGTTGGGGAGGCCCAGGGACCGTGGCAGACGGAAGGCTTCCTGGAGGAAGTAGTGTCTCGGCTGAAGGCTGTGTAGGCATTTGGTGAAAACGAGTGATGTGATTCAGGCAAGGGGACCAGAAGGTTCAGAGGCCCAGAACTGAGCAGGTGCGGCATCTGTGCAGGGCATCTGTGCAGGGGGCCCTCACCGCTGCAGGAAGAGCGGTTGTAGAGGGGGCTGAGGAGACTTTAACTGGGGAAGGACATGGGCAGCCGTGGGCTCTGGGAAGACCCCTGTGGCTGCTGAGTGGAGCGAGGGTGGAGCGAGGTGAGGCAGCCAGGACCGGCTGCCGGCTGGGCTTGGGAGGGTCCGGGATGCTGCTGCACATTTCCTGATGCCGGAGAAGCTGCTGCTGTGCTCCCTTCTTCACAGGTGAGGCTCAGAGAGGCCGAGCTGCTCACTCTGGGTCGGCCAGCTAGTGAGCAACAGAGCAGGCACCCCCCCACCCCCACCAGGCTGCCCACACCCAGACTCTGGCCTGAGCCCTGGGCAGACGCAGATGCCCGCTGGGGACCAGGTCTGAGGATCATCTGGGCTGGGGATCGGACTGTGGGGTTGGCAGGCAGAGGGCCCAGGACAGACCCAGATGAGGCAGGAGAGGAGGGAGCTGGGTGTGGCCCGTGGGGAGAGAGGAGTGAGAGCGCCAGGATGAGGGGCCCCTCGGCTGTAGCGCCAGGACGAGGGGGCCCCACGGCTGTGCTCGCAGGACCTCTGGATGTTCCCCAGTATCCTGATGTTCCACCCGGAGGCCGCCAGGGCTCTCCTGCAGTACCGCATCCGGACGCTCGGTGGAGCCCTGTACAACGCCCAGAACCTAGGCTACCAGGTGAGGGGGACTGAGCACCTACCCTACGGGGCCCCCCCAAGGGCTGACGTCCCATACCACCCCCCAGGTCTTCATCCCTCACCCCAGCCCCCTCTGTGGGTGTGGCTGGAATGTCCTGGATTCTCATAGAGGCTCTGTGGCATCCCCCAGCCTGTACTGTACGTGTGGGAACAGCAGCCTGACCGGGACCCCGCAGGACGTCCCCTCACTGCCCTACCCCAGGGCAAGTACACAGTGGAAACGGGGCAGAAGCCACCTGGCCCACGATGGGGCCACACAGAGGGCACTCAGAGCCCACAGGCCCCCACGAGGTCACGCGGGACAACTGGTGCCCCCGCCTCTGTCTGCCCTCCATGGCTGAAGGCTGAGAGCGTTGAGAACCGGGGTGGGCTACCCCCGGCCCCCCGAGAGCGGAGTCAAGTCTACTCCAACCCCGCAGGGAGCCAAGTTTGCCTGGGAGAGCGCGGGCTCCGGCCTGGAGGTCTGCCCTGAGGCCATTTATGGGACCCAGGAGATCCACATCAACGGGGCCGTGGTGCTGGCCTTCCGGCTGTACTACCACACCACCCAGGTGAGGTGTCACTGTGCCACCAAGTGTGACCTCCTACCTAGCGAGGCCACGCCCTCCACACTGCCATGACTTCCTGTCCGGCCGGTCCGGCGGAGCATCTCAGAGCCAGGCCTTCACTTCTGGGCACTCAGAAGGGTAGGCGTTGGCAAGAAATGCAGTGACCAGTGGGAACTAGAATCACAGGTGCCACGGCCTCTGATGCACCACCTCCTGCTCTCCAGGACTTGCAGCTGTTCCGAGAGGCTGGGGGCTGGGATGTGGTCAGTGCCGTGGCTGAGTTTTGGTGCAGCCGCGTAGAGTGGAGCCCCGGGGAGGAGAAGTTCCACCTGAAGGGTGAGAGCGTGGCCATGGTGGGAGGAGTGTGGATGACGGGGAAGGGGCAGGGGGAGTGGATGGTCACAAGTGGGGAAGCAGGTGGGTGCTTCTCAGTTCAGCATGTGGTCACCAGCACCGGATGCTGCCAGGCCCACACTGGCGACTGGCATCAGGGGCAGGTCCCTAAGACCCTGCACTGAATACCACCTTGTACTTATGTGCCCAGGAGTCATGCCCCCTGACGAATACCATTCAGGGGTCGACAACTCCGTGTACACCAATGTCCTGGTCCAGAACAGGTCAGATCCAAGAACCCGCCCCACCTCCACCATGCAGGGGGCCAGCCAGGAGTGCAGGGCTGCAGCCCACCTCTCCCCATCTCTACTCCTAGCCTGCGCTTTGCTGCTGCCCTGGCCCAGGACCTGGGTCACCCCGTCCCCAACCAGTGGCTGGTGGTGGCTGATAAGATCAAGGTGCCCTTTGACCCAAAACTGAACTTCCACCCTGAGTTTGATGGGTACCAGCCTGGTGAGTGGACTTGGAGCTCCTTCAGGGCCCTTCTCCCCTCCCACAGGACCTCGTGTCCGCCCTGGATGCCCCCTTTCCAACAGGGCAGCCCCTGCCCTCCCCACCTCACCCCATCAGCAGCATCTCCCCCCTCCCCCCAGGAGAGGAGGTGAAGCAGGCAGATGTTGTGCTCTTGGGGTACCCCGTCCCCTTCCCCCTGAGTCCTCAAGTTCGCAGGCAAAACCTGGAGATGTATGAGGCTGTGACGTCCCCCCAGGGCCCTGCCATGACCTGGGTAAGGAAACTGCAGGGTGTGGGGTGGTGGTCCCCAGGGCAGCCCCGGCCCTGCCCCACTGGCCTCAGTCTTCCTTGCCCCCGCAGTGGGCCTCACCCCAGCGTGACCTCTGATCTCTGTCCCCAGAGCATGTTTGCAGTGGGCTGGATGGAGCTGAAGGACCCCGGGCGGGCGTGGGACCTCCTGCAGAGGAGCTTCGCCAACGTCACGGAGCCCTTCAAGGTCAGCCTGGCCAGAGCCTCGACCTACACGCCGACCACGCCCACCTCCTGCACTGACTGCTTTGCCCCCTGCAGGTGTGGACGGAGAATGCAGACAGGTCGGGTGCCGTGAACTTCCTGACAGGCATGGGGGGCTTCCTGCAGGCGGTGCTCTTTGGGGTCACGGGATTCAGGTGAGTGCAGTGGCAGGCAGAGGGCAACCACCTGCCGCCACCCCCCTCCTCACAGAACCTTCCCCTCGCCGCAGGATCACTGAGGCCGGTTTGACCTTCGACCCCATGTGTCCAGCGGGGATCTCCAGAGTGTGCGTTTCTGGCATCTCCTACCAGGGGAGCAAGCTTGACTTTTCCTTCTCTGAAGGGTCTGTGACAGTTGAGGTCACTGCCCGAGCAGGGCCCTGGGCCCCCCCGCTGGAGGCTGAGCTGTGGCCATCACAGAATCGGCTCCCCCTGTCCCCAGGTAGGCCGCCACTCCCAGACCCACCCAGGGGTCCAGGGCACGTGACCCCCAAGGTAGCCCCCAGTGTGTGCCCTCACCCCACAATGCTTCCTCTCCCTGCAGGACACAAGGTCTCCTTTCCCTGCTCAGCTGGCCGGATACAGAGGTCACACCTGTAGGAAGCAGGGGCAGCAAGTTCTGCCCCAAGAGTTTCCTGGGAAGATTGTTTGAAGACATTAAGCATCTGCGCAGAGCCCACAGGACCCCCTCTGGGACACCCTTGGGCCCTCCAGCCCCACCGAGTCCCCCCCGCCCCCCGCCCAGTCCTGCCCCCTCCCCCAAAACGACCAGGGCTATTGGCTTCAGGGATGTGTCTCAGGCCTCCCCCCGGCCACTCCCTCTGCGGGTGCCCCTGCTGGCTGCACCCACCCCTCCTCAACGCCCTCCCAGCCTGCCGCCCCCTCCCACCCTCCTCCACACGGCAGCCAGGCTCACGGGTTCCAAGGAAAGTCTGGACTCTTTGGCCCAAGTTCAAGACTCTGCCTCTAGCCTGAGACCCTCCCCAGCCTAACCCCCCATAGATGGTCAGCTTTCTTGCAGCCTCACACAGCATGTCTGTTCCCGCCCTCCCTCAGTGCCCCTTCCCTAGGACCCCACAGGGTGAGGTGGGAGAAGGGCCAGCGGTTCTGCGAAGACAGAGGCAGATGCCGGCCTTGATGGGGAGCACGGCAGGATGAGGGGCGTGGGGGAGACTCAGTCTCCTGTGGGATTACTTGGGACATCGCATCGCAGCTTCACAAAGGACCCTTCTGTGTCACACGAGGGAGCATCAGGTATGGCTGGGTCCAGGTGCTCCTGGGCTGTTGTGAGCACTCGGCATCCTCAGTCCTTGGGTCCTCTTGCCTCTGGGCCACTTCAGTCAAGTCGGATGGTCTCTGTCACATGCCTTTCCTCAGCCAGGAAGGCAGGGGAGTGGGGTGTGGAGCAAGACCCTGCATTTCCTCTGACCAGCCAGAAGGACTGGGGCCGGGTGTGCGTGAGTTCCAGGCCATGGCCCTGGGCCCACCTGTCCTGGGCAGGCTGGGAGGGCGAGGCTCTGCCCACTGTCTCTTCCTGGGCTTCAGCCCCTCAGTTGGCACAGCAGACTTGGGTTTCCCCAGGGTGAGGCGAGATGGTGTCTGCCATGGAAATCCTGGCGAGGGCCGAGCCTGCTGCAGCAGATCTGCCTGAGGAATGGGCAAGCTTTGTCTGCTGTGAGGAGCTGGCGAGCTCCCTGCTGAACGTGAGGGTTTCGTAAAGGATCAAGCCCCCTTCCACGCGGCTGGGAAGCACAGTCACTTGCTCGCTAGAGCAAGTAAGGGAGTCCCGTCAACGTCTGCGCCCCTCCTTCATCTGCAGACCGTGCTCTCTGTTCTCAGTGGAGAGTTAGCCCGAGTTCTCCAAGAAGCAGACACCAGGCAGACAAACTGTGATGGACTGAAGCCCCATGAGGGAGAGAGGGAAGAGGGTGGCTGCAGGGAGTGTGGCCGAGCTGCAGACCAGCTCCCTGAGGGCCTGTGGCCTCAGAATGGATCCCGCGACTTGGTGGGGCTCCCCCAGGGGCCCACAGGCTCTCGCTCAACCGGTGGCAGTGCCGCAAAGGCCCAGGCAGGTCTGCTGAAGCACAGCATGGTGGCCAGGGACTGTCCCCATGAAGCAGACATTTGCCTTTGCAGCCCTGGAGCCAGATGTGGGCACAGGCATCAGGTGGGGGTGGTAGGTGGCCCTTCACCCACAGGACTGACGTAGCTTGATACGTGCCGCGTGTGTGTGCCGTGTGTGTGCGTGCACGCGCACGCACACCTACCTGTGCCTGTGGAGGGGCAACCCTCCAAGGGGCCGTGACGGTGGCAGCATGTGTGTGCTGGCCTGGCTGGTCCGGCCCATGACAGCCAATTGCCTGAACCTGACCAGGGTCCTTCAACCTGCCCAGGACACAGGCTGGAAGGGTTTCTGGTGACCTTCTGTGCCTGGCTTGACCGCGTATTCTCTGTCCTCAGCAACTGGGCAAGGGCTGGACAATGTCTGCTCCCCTCACCAAATGTGGAGACCAGAAGACCATCCCCTGCTTGGAGACATGTACCCGGCTACACACAGGCTGACCCCTGCTCCCAGCCTCTGTGTCCAGCATGGGTTGGTCCCTTCCTGGGCCAAACCTGGAGCTCAGTGTTGGAACGCCGTCTCCATCCTAGTCCGAGCGCTGGCCTTGTCCTTAGTCCAATGTAGGGCCAGTGCCCAGGAAGGGGCACTGCTCCATCTCCACCCCAGGCCCCGGCCAGCACAACCTCTGCCTCAGGGGCTGGCTCAGAGCAGCGCACACTCAGCAGGGGGCTGGGGTACTGCCAGCCTGCGGCCGGGACTCATCTCTGCTGGCACGCTTTAGAGACAGCTGGACCAACTGTTGGCCGTCACAAGAGGGGGGCTACTCTGGGGGCTCCAAGTACAGGAGCTAGACAGAGACCCACGCCCCCAGCCCAGGCAGGGTGGGCAGGCAAAGGGAGGGAAGGGACCATGGGTGGGGTATTCAGAGCCCTGAGCCACCCTGTGGTTAAGGCCCCTGCAATTAGCCTGCCCTATCATTGGCCCGGCCACAGCAAGGCCCAGGGGCCTCACCCCCAGCCACACAGGGTGTGCGTGTGTCTTTGGCAGCCCCCACTCTGCCAGGCTCTGCTGGGGCTGCCGGGGGGTTACATAAGGGAGGTAACTGATGCGAGGACGTGCACCCGCACAGAGGCACTGGGAAAACGCCCTCACCCCCCCACGCCTCCCTTTCTGTACAATCGTGCGTGTGCAGAAGGTGCTCCTGTGCACCTGTGCGTGATGGACGTGTGCACGGGTGACGGCGTGACCATGCATGTCTGTGTGCCTGTGTGTCTGTGTCCAGCCCCACTGATCCAGGAAGGAGGGAACCCACTGCCGGGACAGATCAGAATTAAAGGGACGCAGGGTCACAAGGACAGAGTGACCCAAAGAAGTAGGTCAACACAGGCCCAGCCCCAGACAGGAACGTGCACGACAAGGACAAGTCTCACTGGTCAGGGACTCCCCTTAGCGCGTGTGCACACACGCTGACTCGGGGATGGGCAGGCACGTGGACGCAGAGACACAGCACACACATTCTGAAAGACAGGCCGCTAAACCACAGAGCGGCAGAGATCAAAGCCCGACTTCTCAAACTTCATTCTAAAATACTCAGGCACCTCCACCCAGAAGCCGCAGGCCGCCCAGTGCCTGAGCAAAGGGGACAGTTGGGGCACCAAGCCGACAGGGCAGGGCGTCCACCATGGACGCTGGGGGCAGTCCAGGGGGATTTGGCTGCAGTGGTCCCTAGGGTAGCTCCCCTCAGGAAGACACCCTCCCCCACCCCAGCCAGGAACAGTCCTGGAAGGCACTTTCTGGAGCCAGGCGCTTTTAATTGTGAAACTGAGGCTGAGCCTGGCGGCTGGGGAGGGAGGAGCTGGCCTGGGGGCAGGGGTGGGGGGTGGGGTTAGGGGACTGGGGGCATCGATCGAGGTGAGGGTAAGGCCCTGGGGTCCCTGTGGAGGATCTTCAGGGTCAGTGTTAGGTGCCCAGGCTGGGGCTGGAGGGTGGGCCTCAGGCCCGTAGGCAAGTCAGGGTTCCAGGCGATTAGGATGGAGCCCCTGGGGTTGGGGTCCCTGGATCAGGGCGGTGACAGGGCCCAGCCTGTCAGTCATAGTCTGAGTCGTCGAACTTGGTGCTGAAGAAGGCGGCGGAGCCCTGGGCCAGCCGGGACAGGTGCAGGGCGCCGGTCACCACCAGCACCAGCAGCAGTAGAGGCGGCACCAGAGCCCACACCGTGGCCAGGATGTTGTAGCACTTGGCTTTGGAGCCGAGCCGCCGGGCTGCTTCCAGATCTCCAGTCACCTTCTGGTCTCGGGCCTGCGGGCCAACAGCAGGGCCAGCTCTCTACACCTGCCTGGGGCCTGGGTGGGGCCTGCCACCCAGTCCCAGGCAGCCGCTGGGTCCACACCTTGGAGGACCCGAGCTGGACCCAAAATCTAGATGGAGGGGTGTGGCCTGAGAGGATATTGCCCGGGCTCCACCCACTCCCTTCACCGTCCCCAGCTGGGCACATGGGCTTGGCCCGCCCAGGGGGCCTTGGGTCATCAGGGGCTCAGCCTAAAGTGGCGCTGAAAGGAGACCCTGCATCTTCCCACTCCAGCTATGGACCCAGTGGCCCTCCCAGGCCAGCATCAGCCTCCAAGGACCTCTGAGGGTAGGGAGTTCTCAGAGGTGCTGAGAGCGTTTGATGGAAGAGACGCCCTTGGATAAGGCCCCATCGACCCTGGGCTCTTCGGGACAAACTAGACCCCCCATTTCGGTTTTATGAACAGCACCCCAGCCTCAGTGGAGAAGCCCTCGTGAGGGAGGGGCTCCCACCACCGTCAGGCTGACGGATGGCCCCGTGGATACTCCTGCACCCCAACTTGATAAGCAGCCCCCGTGAGATGCTCTTGGGCCCCCTCGAAGCGCCCCAAGGCCCACCTTGATGGAGTAGGCCAGCGCCAGGAAGCCGAGGCAGCACAGGTTCAGGTAGAGGGTGCTGAACACCGACCAGATCAAGTGGTCTCGAGGTGGGGGTAGCGGCGCCCCCAGCGTGAGGGCCGTGTGGGCGGTGCCGTCGGCCTTGTTGGGCGTCGGGGCCCGGGGGTCCTCGCGGGGGTACGACGTGTCCATGGGTTCCAGCGCCGTCTCCTCGCTCGGACTCCTGCTTCGAGGGTGGGCGCCCCGGCCGCTTATAGTCCCCGCCGCCGCCCGGCTGACCGGCCCGCCGCTAAATTTAACGACAAATGACAGCCCGGGGCTGAGCGGTCGCCCCGCCCGCCCCGCCGCCCGCCGCCCCGCCTGCGCGAGCCCACCCCCCAACCCCCAACCCCCGCAGAGTCCCCCTCCCCCCCAGAAAGCCCCGCTCCCCGCGGAGAAACACTGACCCCGTAGAGGCTGGGGGCCGGTGCGGGGCCACCAGAGCCCCTCCTGTCCGGGTGGTCCAGCCTAGGGAGCCCCCTGCAAGGCTGCTGGTGGGGCCATGCGGTGGCTGCGGTCTGCCCCTCAGAGCCCCCGCCCCCGCCGACGAAAGGAGGCGGACGCACCAGCTCAGGGCCATGGTGGGTGGGCCGCTACCTCGGCTTGAGGGCAGGGCTAGGCGGGGCTCCTCAGGACCAGGGCTGCTGAAACCACAGCCCCTCTGTCCCCAGAACTGCCCGCATCACCTGGTCATCAGTGCCCACCCTGCCGGGTGGAAAAGAACAGTGCTCAGGAGAGAACAGCGGGGAAGAGGGAGAGCGGGGGTGGGGGAGGGTGGCCTGTTGGGGGACCAGCTGTGACCTGGACTGTTACTGTGCGGGCGCTACAGTGAGCTCTCCAGGGCCTGCTCTGGGGACTGCCCTCCTCCCTCCCAAGCTGTCAACTGCTTCTCAGGCTCCTTTGCTGGTTGCTTCTCCTGAATCCAGAGCTAGGGGGCTGGGAGGGCGGGGCTGAGCTTGTGTCCGCACCCCGGTCTCATCTCCCTCCAGAGGGCCCAGCAGCCTGTTGGCTAAAATGCCATCTATGTGCCCGTCAATCACATTTATGTCAAAGGGCCAGATTGCCGTGCTCCGCGGAGGAGGGCTCCCAGGGTCTCCAGCCTAGCTCCTCAATAGGAAACCTCAGGCTCTCCCAAACCTTCTGTCTGAGCTGGGACTCCCGTAGCAAAGTACCTGGACTAGCGGCTCACAAATAATAGAAATTTATGTCTCACATTTCTGGAGCCTGAAGGTCTGAGATCAGGGTGCCAGCGTCGATGGGTGCTGGTGAGACCCGCTTCCTGGTTGCAGAGGGCCGACTTCTCAGGGCTCCTCACTGGTGGAAGGAGCTGCGAAGCTCTGTGGGGTCCCTTTTATAAGAGCACTGACCCTACCATGAGGGGTCCACCCTCATGACCTAACCACCTCCTAATACCGTCACTTTAGAATTTCAGTGGGGGAGGGGGACACAAGTGTTCAGTCCACTGCACCCTCTGCCCGGTCTCTGCGGGCACAGCTGGTGGCCGCTCCACCCGGCCAACTGCTCAGGACAAAAGCATTGGCTTACGCCTGCACCTTCTGCCGCTCACACCGGATCCATTTGGTCCCACCTTCCAGAATGTGCAGAATCTCACCCCCACTGTGGCCTCTGAGACCAAGCCCTCTCACCTTCTCCTGGGTTAGCGGGCCCCCCTCCTCGGCGTTCTCACTACTCCAGCCAGAGTGATCCTGTTACAACAGAAAACAAGTTGTGCCCCCTGCGCCCCCCCAAGGGCCCCCACCTCACTCCAGATCCAGAGTCACTGCAGTGGCTCACAGGCCCTGCAGGGTTACTCCAGGCCACGCTCCTGGACTCTGAGAAGGACGTTGAATAGGGAGGCTCTTTGTGTCCAACCCTGAAGAAGGGAGGAAAAGAACAGGATGGGGTGGCGTAGAAGCTGAGCTGCAGTAAGGCCCAGCAAAGGCCTGAGCTGAGCCCGCAGGAGCTCTGGAGCTTGGAGGACATTTGAGACGTGTCCAAGGCAGGGCGCCGTTCTGCTCACCGTCAGCTACCAGCTCTGCTAGGCCCAGTGGGCCACGGTGTGATGTGGCCCCTTCTGCAAGAGACCTAGGCCTTGGTCACCGTGACCGTCTTGGGGCAGGAGTGCTGCACTTGGCCATTTACCATAACACTGGGCAAGAGGGGGCCCAGTGTGGAGCATCCCTCCCTCCTCCTGCGGACCAGAGTCAAGTGGCCCTGCCTGTGACCCAGGCGTGGGAAACAAAGGGGCATCCAGAGATCGTAGGTCAACGGCACCTTTTTGTGTCGCCTGAAGGAAGCTTTGGGAGACAGAACTTCTGAACCCACAAAGCCCAGAGCAGCAGGGCTGGAGAACGTGAAGGCACCAGTGGTCCAGGAAGTGAAGAGGCAGAGCTGCCCGGTCCTGCCCTGGGGCCCTGGGCCCATGTACTCTACCCACAGCCACACAGCACCTCCTAACGGCCTTTGACCTGAGGGCTAACTGCGGCCAGGAGGGGTGCCCACCCTCTGCTTGGTGCAGTGGGGTGGTAAGGTGTGGGACGTGACTGGCAGACCTGAGCCTGTGTTCCCATCCCTGGGGATGACATATGATGTGGACTCCTGTGCAGGGTCGGTGCTCCGAGTTCCTGAGGGCTACACGCTGCCCCTCTGGGGACAAGGGTCCAATGAAAGTAACTCGCTTGCAGCTCTGCCCCTCACCCCGGTGTTCAGGCCACTCCTGATTGGGCTGGAGTGCAGGACCCATCCTGTGGCCAGCCGTCTCCCTCACACTAAGCTGACCAATGGAGAACCAGGCTGGGAATTCTTCCTTCCCCATCATCTGGTCCCAGAGGGATCCCCCTGCAGCCCCAGGTGTGAGCAGAGAGACAGGCCTTGGGAAGCAGTGGTGGATGACACAGGGTCAGGACAACCTGCTTGTTTGACCTGGAATGTTGCACGTCCAGCCTTGAATGCATTGCTGCTGGACTAAACTGTCAACTGAAAGACAAACACACAATGCAAGAACTGTGAGGTAAGTTTTATTAACGGTGTTACTGAGGACTATAGCCTGGGAAGCAGCCTCTTGGTGCCTCTGAGAAACTGTAACAGGAAGAACAGACCTGGCACCACCTCCCCCAACACCCATTCTTCGGCCCATGTAGTCCATCACTTTCGTCCCCACACGCCAGGAGTTAAACAGTAGAGAAATGTTGTTTGTTCCCAAATAGCCCATTAAGTTCCCTGAAGAACGTTCCCATCCCACGGTCCTGGGTTACTTATGGCCATTACTTGTTGTAGATAAGTTTGCTTTCAGCCTGGAAACCTTGCAAATAAGCAGAGATAAGACTGTAAAGTAAAAATAACTGCTAAGGACTTGAGGATTTGCAGGCGCCTTGTGATCCAGCCTGCGTGAGCAAGCAGAAGAACGAAGCAATGCTGCGCTTCCTTGAAGGCCAGGTGGCTCTGAGAAGTCTGCAATCTGCCTTCACCCTCTAATCTCAGATGGTTCTTTAGGAACCATCTTCTTGGTTTGCTGGCCTCTGATTAAAGTCACTACTTCTTCCCCATCACCTTGTCTCTTGCCTCATCAGCCTGTCGTGTGGGAGCAGCGCGAACTTGGACTCTGCACTCGGTAACAGAACTGCTCCGAAGAGGTAGGGGAGAAGCCAGTGCACGTATGGTTTTAGCTAGGAAATGCGTGCAGTGAAGCACACAGCTCGGTAAAAGGTTCCCGAGAGTCACGAGGATCAGACATCTCAGTTAATGATTTTAGTGCTTTTCTATATGAGAAAATGCAAGAAAGTGGGTTCATTAAAATTTCTTCTTGGGACTTCCCTGGCAGTCCAGTGGTTAAGACTTCATCTTCCAATGCAGGGGGTGCGGGTTTGATCCCTGGTCGGGGAGCTGAGATCCCACATGCCTCGGGGCCAAAAACCAAAACAGAAGCAATATTATAACAAATTCAATAAAGACTTTAAAAATGGTCCACATCAAAAAAAAGTCTTAAAAAAGAAAAATTTCGGGCTTCCTTGGTGCGCAGTGGTTGGGAGTCCGCCTGCCAATGCAGGGGACGCGGGTTCGTGCCCCGGTCCGGGAAGATCCCACATGCCACGGAGCGGCTGGGCCCGTGAGCCGTGGCCGCTGAGCCTGCGCGTCCGGAGCCTGTGCTCCGCAACGGGAGAGGCCACAACAGTGAGAGACCCGCATACTGCAAAAAAAAAAAAAAAAATTTCCTCTTGCGATTACCCTGCCTAAGGGGCCTGGTTTTCCAAAGCACAGACAGCCTTTTCGTCCTGTTCTTCATCCTGAATTGCCCTCAGGGTGAGCTGTCAGTCAGAGACTCCAGTGGCTAATGGCCTGATCCTTGTAGAACTGGATGGTGGGCAACAGTATTTGTTTTACAATTTGCCCCTCTTGGTCATAAATTTAACCAAGGTTTGGGAGGCATGTCATGACCATCCGCCCCATGGTGCCCAGAGGGCTCCATGTGCTATTGCTGGACCAGGCCCTGTCAGAGGTGTCCGTGAAGTCTCTGGACCCCCCGTCACTCTAGTCTGTTACAGTCCAGAAAGTGACTCTCCCATGTTACTTCTTCCCATATCTAGAGTTACATTATTACGATCATTGTAATCTCATATAGAACTATATGTTTGGTAGACTATTTCAAGTTGCTTAGTTATTATTTTTGTTGGAAGCTCACTTACACATTGGTCAATACAAGAAACAACGATCTTGTAGAACAGGCAGAAGACAAGTGCTATAGCTAGTAGCATTAATAAAATCGTAAGTAAGAAGTTAGGCCAAGAATTTCCATTAGGTGTGGCCGAGTGTACTCCCAGTCGGCTGACGGTTTGCTCTGAACCAATCGCTATCTTTAAGGGTAATGACATATTGGCATTGTTCATAAGACAGCCCAATTTCCTAGTGTCATCAGGCTGATGACCCTTAGTATGATTTAATTGTTCCCAGCACAAGGGGACCCTTAAACTTAAACGACTGTGACCTGGTAAATCTACCCCATAACTGAGGGAGGGTCCCTCCTAATAAGCAAGTGATTATGGTTTTTGACTGAAATTTAGCTCACTGCTCTGATTGAACTCGAGTAACTCTTAAAGAAAATTCATATTTCTGGCCAGGGTCAGAGCAAGTATGATTAATTAGCCAAGTGAGGGGATCCCACCTAGTAATTCGATAGTGGCCTGAACAGAACTATAATTTTTTTCTTCTAGAATAGATCTCCTAAGGACCATTCAGAGCCAGTCAGAGCCGCAGGAGAAATCCACCAAGATAACCAGATGTACTGAATGTAGTTAATTGACCATCAACCCAACAACTGGATTGATTTTAGAACTCTGCATAGGACTGTGCCCATGATAGGAAAACATTCGATTCATATGCAAAAGTTCAAGAAGTTAAGAAAACACTATAAATGATCATATGGGTCAGGTCTGGCATCTTGGGCCAGCTGCCTACTTCTGATGTCATCTTCTTCTTGTCCCCGTGTGGGCATGGTTTCTCTTCTGATTGAGCATTGTTTTTTTTGTTGTTGTTGTTGTTTTTACATTTTTATTGGAGTATAATTGCTTTACAATGGTGTGTTAGTTTCTTCTTTATAACAAAGTGAATCAGTTGTACATATACATATGTTCCCATATCTCCTCCCTCTTGCGTCTGCCTCCCTCCCACCCTCCCTATCCCACCCCTCTAGGTGGTCACAAAGCACTGAGCTGATCTCCCTGTGCTATGCGGCTGCTTCCCACTAGCTATCGGTTTTACGTTTGGTAGTGTATATATGTCCATGCCACTCTCTCACTTCATCCCAGCTTACCCTTCCCCTCCCCGTATCCTCAAGTCCCTTCTCTAGTAGGTCTGTGTCTTTATTCCTGTCTTACTCCTAGGTTCTTCATGATTATTTTTTCTTAAATTCCATTATGTGTGTTAGCATACGGTATTTGTCTTTCTCTTTCTGACTTACTTCACTCTGTATGACAGACTCTAGGTGAGCATCGTTTTAAGGTGAGTTTGAGATCAGCAGTCCTCTATAGACCAGTCAGTCGGGTGCAAGGGCCCTTTGTAAATGGGAAATGTGAATCCAAGAACTAATTCCCTTCAGTCTTGCTGTGTGTGAGCTAGTTAAGAGCACCCAATGAGGGTCCTTCTATCTGGGTTGGAGAGAATCCTTTAAATGATGTCTTTTCCAGTGTGTATAATCTCCTGGTTGCAGGTTATGGGGCATCTGATGTTCATCCAAAGAGAGATTATTGTGATAAGCTTCAGAAACAAGCTTAGAGTGTCCTTTTAACAATTTAATTAAACCTTATGGTAATGCAACACAGTAACAAGGAGCCATCTAGGCAGTGAGTCTCAGGCAGTAAATACAAAACCTCAAAGACAACTAACAACACTAGAACTTAATATCCACTGAAACAAAATTTTTTTCTCTCTAAAATTACCCTCGTTTCTACAAAATATAGCCAAAGTAAGACTAATTTGCTTACAAAATAAGCCTGGTTTCAATAAACATGACCTGATTATTTACGTAAGTGTAATTGATGCTATAGGCTCTTCTAAATTGGCCTTGCTGGAACTTTTTTTTATTTTTTATTTTTTTTATTTTTGGCTGCCTTGGGTCTTCATTGCTGTACGCAGGCTTTCTCTAGCTGTGGCGAGCAGGGGCTACTCTTCGTTGCGGTGCATGGGCTTCTCATTGCGGTGGCTTCTCTTGTTGCAGAGAACAGGTTCTAGGCGCGCGGGCTTCCGTAGTGTGGCACGCGGGCTCAGTAGTTGTGGCCCACGGGCTTAGTTGCTCTGCAGCATGTGGAATCTTCCCAGACCAAGGATCGAATCCGTGTCCCCTGCACTGGCAGGCGGATTCTTAACCACCGTGCCAGCAGGGACGTCCCTGCTGGAACTTTTTATAAGGAATCTCAGACTGAACTTTAAAAGTCCTCTCAAGGCCATGAAAATCACACCAAACAGTTACCATCAGCTTCTGCCTGTAATACCTGTAGATTGGGGTAGACTCTTCTCTTCTCAAGGTCCCCCAAGATATCTTGAAATTCCTGCACCTGCCAGGAGGTGGCCTTCCTTATTCACCTGATAAGGCTGCTAGGAACCCCGTAAACAAGGTACCAGGCTGTTTGTCCAAGGGACTTCAGGCTCCATGAAGTTCACCTTAGTCCTTTAAAGCTGTGTGGTCATATCTGATTCTGATTGCATATTGTCCACTATGACATTTCAAAGCCAGGTTAATACAACCAGTGTTCCCAATTGCGTCTTGTTATAAGGAGAACATATTCTTTCTGAACTTATCCAAATAACTATATTGCCATGAAAATAAGAATACTCACTAGAAGTTTCCAAACTCTGGAGGGATCAGGTAGAGAGAAAAGATAAATGATTCAGTTCTGCTTACAAAGGTATAATTTACCAAATCGCCATAAGTCATAGCAACCTTCAGGAGAAGGGTTTCCTTAGATCTGGAAAACAAAGATGAAAAACCAGTAATATTTCAGACAGAAAGTCATAAAAGTTATCATTCAGCCTATGTACTAATTCCTCTTGATCTTGACCTTCTGTTAACAGCTTTATGAAGCCATCAGGTTTTTCGTTAGAATTCTGTCATTTCTTGCCCAGTTCAGTGGTATGACCTGAAAGTTATCGGAAATTTTTTACCTTCAGATTTTGTCCTATGCTTTCCCCTTTTCTCTCTCTCTTTAGAAGAAAATTACTTTCTTTTCCCTTAACAAAATGCATTTCCATTACTTACACTTTCTTTTTCCTTGCATACAAAGATGTTTTCCTCATTAATTTTTAGTAGTTTAATTACATTTTTAATTAGAATCCTTAACCTTTAAAAACCTTAATTTCTAGTGAGAACTAAGAAGTAAGCAATTATGAACTTTTACCTTAGCACTCTGTAAATTGGCAAATTTATAAATATTATTTATAATTTCAAAAAATGTGTGCTTTCTTATAGAATATGCCTCAGTATGGCGCCAAACATATCTACTAATATCTTTAATTTTTCTGTAAAAGGAAGCCTATGTTTTGTAATTAATGTTTCAGTATTTTATCTTATTTGGAAATAATACAGACATTCAATAAATTTTCATCATGTAACTTGATTTAGCGAAACTCTCAAGTTTCAAGTTATCAAAAATCTGGTAAGTAGACATATCATAAAACCTAATTATTCTTAAAAGGTTTATCTGAAAGCTCTTACCCCATTTATATCTCTTTAATTCACTTGTTCCCAACAATTATGTTTAGATGACCCATGAAAACTTCATGAGACATCAGAACAAGTCAGCCATCATCTGAAGCTATTTTTCTTGCTGACAAATTTTGTAACAGAGGTAACATAAACTTATCTGACTTTTAGTAAATCTAGGTACAATAAAAGTAGTATACTTAGTGTTGATGACTCTAAAGACATGTCTGTATTAATTAAATGAAACAGACAAAACTTAATACTGAATATTAATTTAATACTGGATATTTCCCTGATCACATAACATGAGATGCATTTGGGTTAGTTTCTATTATATTTCTGAGAATTTATGTAAGCACTTAACTTCTTTTAAGTCAATTAAATAGAGCTCATTTACAAATTAAATTTGAAAATACCACCTGGAGGTAGAAACATTTATAATGTACATACATTCAGATAGACAGAGATCTCATCATTTTCATTTTAAAACAGTCATGAATCAGGTATTAAAATATAAAACTCACTAGTTTATAAATAACAGTTGAACTAGACTAAGTCTACTTGCTTGAGTTTTTAAAAAGGCTTCTTCCCTTCCCCCTTTTTTCCGTTAGTATCAGGACCTGGAGATGGCCCGGATGTGTGTTCCCTGACCTGGTAGAACATTTATATCTCAAAGGCACAGGGAGAAAAATGCAAGCTTCTTCTAGAAGGACTTTTGTTCCCTTAGGGTCAGACTTCTGAAAAGATATTTTATCAAGCCAGCTTTCTCTAACTGCTTACGCGAAGAACAGTTTTGGAATGCTGAAAGAGCTCCATCTTGGCCATTGCAGGGAGAGATTTTTGTTTCCCATTTCATGGTCAGCGGAGATAAAATTGCTGTTAAAAGCTCTGTGTGGGCTGGCGTGCTATCTGTGAGCTTAACTCCTTCAGGTGTTACCACCGAGCCGTCTAGCTCTCTCACGTGTCTTGGTGTCTCTCTCTCGTAGTCTAAAACCTGAGCACCAGATGGCCAATCCTTTTGTGCGCATCTTCAGACGAGTGAGTTGTTTTTGTTTTTTTGCTTAATGAGAGGCTGTCCCTTTGGGACCGCTGCATGGTATGAAGATCCCACTCCACCACTCCTATAACTTTCTCAATTGCCTGAGAAAACAAAGCCATAGCTGGCTGGGAGAAGCTGGGTCCCTTATCTTTGGAGCTGAAAGCTCTCATGTGATATCGTCACTTTCATTCAGACAAACTTTGTTAAAGTAGCCAATTCAAGGAGAGACACAAGGCCATCCTCCTACCTAGTCACCCAGAGTCTAAACCTTTTCAGGGTCTTTCAACTGGGGAATCCAGGTACCCCTTCTTCAACTTAAGTTCAAAGAAAGAGCTACTCCTTATAACGAGGAGTTTAATAACCACCAGACATTGTAAAACTCAGGATTGCCAACCAGGATGGGAGACCTGAGACTCAGGAGAAACTTACCCATTCCTCTGACTCACCAAGGAGGTGGATGGGCACAAGGGGCCCTCGCTAGTACCAAGGCTGCCTATCCTCTTGGAGTTCAGGCAAGGAGAGACGTCTGCTCTGGGTCCCTTCGTGGTCACCCAAACTGTCGACTGAAAGAAAAATGTACAACGAAAGAGCTATGAGTTGAGTTTCATTCAGGGACCTTACTGAGGACTATAGACTGGGAACCAGCCTCCCAGTAGCTCTGAGAAACTACGAGGTAGGGGAGAAGCAAGTGTCACATGGTTTTGGCTGGGAAATGCAGTGAAGCACACATCTCAGTAAAATTTCCTGCTAGTTACGAGGATCAGATATCTCAGTTAATGCTTTTAGGGCTTTTCCATGTATGGGAATGACAGGGATAGAGTAGGATAGTTACACAGGTAGTCGTAGAAGTCCCACTAGGGAATTATAGACAGAGAGGGAAACCTAGGGAACGTTGGGAGACCACTGTAGGTTAATGATCACTCAAGAAAGCTATCGGAACTTAATGGAACGAAGCAGTCTTGCTTAACTATAAAACCATAAATAAAAGTATGAGATATGCCCAGGTCATTAAGTGAAAGAATGAGGCCTGCATTCTGCTGGTGGAGTTCGGCAAGATAATGATCCTTAGGACCAAGGACAGGAACTTAAGGGAAAGATGACGTTCCAAAGTAGGAGACCTTCATTATACGGAAACCTGAGATGATGCAACATATTTCAGTATATGTTACCACCCTTCTGCTGATTTGAATGAGCGCTATGACAGTCGTAGTTTGACCTCATAAGGTCAAACACTCTCCTGCCTGATACGAAGGAAGAGCTAGTGACGTCTACTCAAAGAATGAGGAAGAAGGCGGTCTTCCCCCCTCCCCGCTTCCCTTTGGTTATAAAAATGTAGCCTGCTTAATTCTTGGGGCAGAACCCCCTCGCCTGCCCGCCTGTATCCCTCACGAGCGTCCTATATTAATAAGTCCATCACTTTGCCTCTCACTGAATTCCTTCTGTGCTGAGCCTCAGTAAGTCCAGACACCAGGTGAGTGATTCTAATTAAGAGACCGTGGGCTCAAGTCCCAACCTGAGGTGCACAGTTTCAGGAAGATACAAGAAATTGGGTTCATTAAAATTTTTTCCAGAGATTTCTCTGCATCCAAGGAGCCTCCTCCTGACCTTTGTCCCGAACTCCTTTCAGGACGCCCTGTTGGTCCGCAAGTGCCGTGGCTGACAACCTGAACCGTGTAGCGTTGAGTGGTGGACATTCTTTGTTTCACAAACAAAGCTCTGTTTTGGTGGGTCTGACACAACCCTCCTACGGCTGGCAGATCTGCCACGAGGTGGCCGGGTGGCCATGTCCAACTTTAGAGACAGGACAGGAAAGACCGCCTTCCCCAGACCTCTGTCCACACACCCTAGTCCCGGGTCCGGTTGATGTACGTCTGGCACAGCAGCTGCACTTGGACTCCCACGGCTTAGTCTGCCGCGGCCCCGAGTCTCCACCAGCTCCATCTGGGTCTGGGGCCAGACAGGTGAACGAAATGGAGGTTTGGTGGGGGTGACACCCCTGCACCCTTTAGGCTTTGAGGTGGCTTAATTTCTGCTTCACTCCCAGTCTGGGATACAGTAAGTCCCTTACATACGAACGAGTTCTGTTCCAAGAGTGTGTTCATAAGTCCAATTTTTTCTAAGTCCAACAAAGTTAGCCTAGGTACCCAACTAACACAGTCAGCAATATAGTACTGTACTGTAGTAGGTTTATAATACTTTTCACACAAATAACATATAAAAAACAAACACAAAAAAGAAAAGATTTTTTTAAAGACTTTAAAAGATTTTTAAACTTACAGTGCAGTCCCTTGAAAAGTACAGTAGTGCAGCACAACAGCTAGCATGCAGGGGCTGGCGTCGAGGGAACAGGCAGGAAGAGTTACTGACTGGAGGAGAGAGAGGTGGTGGGAGACGGTAGAGCTGAAGGGTCGTCAGCAACAGGAGACGGAGGGCGAGCTGCACTTTCACTCACGCCTGACGCTGATGGCACAGGCTCTGGTTCCTTGCTGGGTTCAACTCTATCTACCCTCTTGAAAAAAAGATCCAGTGATGTCTGGTAGCTCTTTTTTTCTTATCATAGGTGACATGGTAGCACTGGATTATATTCTGAACGGCTACTGAAAGCTTCATGTACTGTTCTATATTCAGGTCCTGTGCCTCAAAAACTAACAGTGCCTCCTCAAATACAGAAAATCCCCTTGCCATTTCCTGCGCTGTGAATCTCTTCCGTTCTTCAGTTACTTCTTCCTCTTCTTGTCTCTCTTAGTCCTTTCTCTGGGCCTCCAATTCCATCAGGTCTTTGTTAGTCAGCTCCTCGTGATGCACAGCAACAGTACCGTATGGTACAGTACGCAAAAGCACCACCACTTGGAGAGGATGCACGCACATGACAATGTACGCCAGACACGTGACCTAACTTACGTGACTGGATATGCGAACACACCTTCGCATCATTTTAAGTTCGCAACTTGAAGATTCTTATGTAGGTGACTTAGTTATTGGTTTTGATTTTCCTCCCTGCTGGGGTGGGCACTGGGGAGCAATTCCAGTGTCCCCACCAGCCGGCCCCATGACCGTGGCTCCTACCCAGAAGCCACTGATCCCATGTGAGGATGTGCCGAGCACCACTTGCTTCCATTCCCATTCCACCCCAAGGGTGGGAAATGCCCGGACGGGGTCGGGCCCCACTCAGAGTTTGATTAGGGCCTGGAGCCCCCTGATTCCTCAGCCCCACGTGCCCTGCGTGAAAGGGCAGCCAAGTGATACTTTGCCTGTTGAGTTATTGTGATTTATATTAAGAAATACGTATTCGAAAAGAAAAAAAAGAAAAAAAAAAGAAATATGTATTCGACCTTCTTCCTGTTTCTTGCAAAGAACTCCTAAAACTCTTACAATTTCCTAAGTGATGAGAGTGACAAAGGTATCCTCGTGTGTAATGAGGTGACTTTTGGACCCCACCTGAGGATGAGCACTTCTCAGGGGAACCAACCATGTGTTTAGACTGTTGGAATTCTCAGTCCCAGTCTCCAGGCCTCCAGGGAGAGGAGAGGGGCTGGAGGTTGGGTCAGTCACTAACAATCTATGATTTACTCAATATGCCTGTGTAATGAAGTCTCCAAAACCCCCAGAAGGACAGCGTTCCAAGCGCTTCCAGGGTGGTGAGCACATGGAGATGCCTGCAGAGGGCAGGGCAGCTCTGTGCCCCGTCCCCCATAACTGCCCTGTGTGTCTCTTCCCTCTGGCTGTTCCTGAGTCATATTCTTTATAATAAATAAGTAAAATGTTCCTCTGAGTTCTGCGAGCTTCTGTGGCAAATCAGTTGAACCCAAGGAGGGCCTCGTGGGCCCCTCTGGTTTACAGCCGGGGTCAGAAGCCCAGGTGATAACCTGGTGTCTGAAGTGGCCGGGGGGCTGTCCTGTGGAGCTGAGACCCTAGCCTGTGGGATCTGGAGCTGTGTCTGGGCAAACAGTGTCAGAATTCAATTGAACTGAGTAGAATTCTCAGACACCTTGCAGGAAGCCCCCTCCCCCTCCACACACACACACATTGAAATTGGGTCCAGGAACCTATTAAATACCAAAAAATTCAACGGTGAAAATTCGAAGATCTAATTGGCTTTACTGAATGATTCACGAATGGGGCAGCATCCCATCCAACAAGTGAAAAGGAGCTCCAGTGGGCTTGCCAACTACAAATCGGCACTCGCCGTCTGCCTCTACGAGGATTAAATCATGAGCCACTGAAGCTGCTGACTTCCATTCAACACCCCCCGAAAGGAGTTCAGGGTGGAGACCAGGAATGAGGCCCTCTGTGCTCTGGGAAAAACTGGCAGGACAGGTCTTCAGATAGTTAGATACTTTCAGGAGATTTTAGGAGCCCTATTCTTGCATCTCCTCATATCTAGAAAAGCACTAAAATCCTTCAAGGTGACTCTGTTCCTCGTGACCAGCAGCAAAAGCCTCTGCCAGAATGCGGGCTTGAGTGCACGCCGCCCCCATCAGCCCTCCACAAAGTCCCATATAACGCTGACCTTCCCCGCCCCCCGACCCCTCCACAAAGTCACATATAACGCTGACCTTCCCCGCCCCCCCCCCCCCCCCACAAAGTCACATATAACGCTGACCTTCCCCGCCCCCCCGCCCCCTCCACAAAGTCGCATATAACGCTGACCTTCCCGCTACCTCTTTGGAGCAGTTTCTCAGAGCTGTCTGGGATGCTGTCTCCCGGGCTGCAGTCCTCATTTTGCCCCAAATAAAACTTCACTCGCAACTCTTCACAGTGTGCATTTTTTTCCATCGACAGGCTACAAAAATGGAAAAGATTTTAAAGGCAAGACAAGGAAGTCATAAACAAAAAAAAGTCTTAGATAATTTAGATTTCAGGCTTAAATAATTCACCTATGGGGGGAGGGAAAGGATCTTATTGGGGTTTCCTCCTAATACTGGCCAGGAAATTCCAGGTTGACTGGCTAAAGTTTACTCTCCCGGGGAAGGTTGAAACTGCAATTAGGTTGCGTGTTAAGTCTTGGTTGGCTGGTGTGGGGCTTAGCACATATGACTCCATTTGGGGCCTGTTGTTTCTTTTTAACAGTCCCCCCTTTTGCTCAGACTCTCAGCTTAGCTGGGAGATGTCATCAACATTTAAGGCATTAGCACTACCCCCAGCTACCGCTCTGAAGATCCTTCCTGTGATGTTCACAGGTCACAACTTCAGATTCCAAATTTTTAAGAAACAGGTGAACTTTGAACTGTGTCTGGAGGCACATTTCTGGTTTTCCAAAGATTTGTAAGATAAGGACACTTGTTTTTAATTCCTCAAAGAACTGGGTTGCAACTTAAATGACACCATAGGTTGATCCACTCATAAATCCTTTTACAAGGGCTTCCCTGGTGGCGCAGCGGTTGGGAGTCCGCCTGCCGATGCGGGGGACACAGGTTCGTGCCCCGGTGCAGGAGGATCCCACATGCCGCAGAGCGGCTGCGCCCGTGAGCCATGGCCGCTGAGCCTGCGCGTCCGGAGCCTGTGCTCCGCAGCGGGAGGGGCCACAGCGGTGAGAGGCCCGCGTACCGCAAAAAAAAAAAAAAAAAAAAAAACCCTTTCCCAAGAGCTTTAGGAGGTTCCCCTTCCTCTTGGTAGATTTAGCTTAGGGGAGGAGGCCTAAAACATTTCTATCAGGCTTTGAAAATCAGCTTCCAATATAGCCAAATTTCTGATCCTAGTGTGAAGTTAAACTCACATTTTATGGCAAGACAAGAAAATCTTAAACGTAAAAAACTTTCTCTGCCCTTTGGCCTCCTCTCTCCCTGCACTGCGCATTGTGTATCGACATTACGCATCAACCAACCTCCCCCAGCGGCAGAAATACTGGTTCAGCCATAAAGAGCAATATTCACCCGTCAGCAAGGCAGCTCCTTAAAGATAACACCGCTTCCTGGCCTGGTAAGGGGCCACGCTGTCGCTTAGCTCTGGATCGTGTAACTGTCGATAACGCGTCCTTTAACGTACAGCGCTCTTGTCTCAAAAAACTTATGTAACTGTGCCTGGACTTCTAATGGGCAGAACAGTTCTCTGTACTTTCTGAGACGTTCTTCCCAGGATATAAGCCTCAAATTTGGCTCAAATAAGACTTTCCATTTCTTTCTTAGTTTGATTAATTTTTCATCGGCACTAGAGTATCCTTTTAAATATCTTGTCAGGTCTCAGCCAGGACAAACAGTAAATATTCCTGGCAATATCAAACAACTCCGTGGACCCAAGAGGCATCCTCAGAGAAGGTGTACAGGTTACCACCTCCCCAAGATCCAGAGTCACCCTCAAAGACAGCCAGAAAAAGAGCTGACAACATGCATGTCCCAGGCAGGCAGAAAGCCAAGCCCCCCTCCTAGGACACAAAGTGAGACGAGCAAGAAGACAACGGCAGTCCTTGGGGGAGAAAGATCCGTAATCTGTAGGTCTGGTTTGGAAAGGAAGGAACACCATGACATTTTGTTTTCCTCTCTCGACCGAGCAATAAAGACAAAGACACAGGAGAGCTGACTCTGCTAAGAACCCTCACCTTTCTCTGGCTTCTGTCAGCTTTCCCAGGATCCCCTGTGCAGGCTCCAGTTTTGCATTAATTTTAATTTTAGTTTCCTTGGCTGTTTAAGGGAATAGTGTAGCAGTTTACCCGAGACCCGTCAGAGTCCCATCAGTTCTGGGAGGGGCCCAGATGGGGCCTCCTTTGGGGATAGATAGGAGGGCATTCGAGTTGATGTTGAAAAATCCCCTTTGAGGACAATCTCTTTTCCATTGCCACAGTTGACTACAACTGACACATCATTCCCTGGGCCCCTAGGTGTCTGGTCTTGGAGCTGTAGTAGCTGTAATGTTAATGCTTTGGTGGACTTTTGATTATGACCTGTGTCTTTAAATTTTCATTAGCTTTTTGCAAATAATTTTTTAAGGAAGGTATTTTGGAATTTTGAAGGCTTTTGGAAGCTTCCACATACCAATAAAAACAGGTATCCCATTTGCTCTGTTTGATTTGGGAAACTTTGCTTTCAAGTACACCTCTTAAATGATTTTATCTAATTGGAATAGTCCTTATAAACGCCCATTGTGACTCTAGGTTGTTTTAGTAAGACTTTTCCCATTTTTGTGATATCTACAGCTTCTGGGACAACAGTTCTTAGATATACAATAAACGGTTGTGCCGGCAGGTGGCAAGTTCCTTTCTTCTAGCTAAGCCTTGGGTTCTCTCTGAGCCAAACTAAAACCTCAAAGGGATGTTTCTCTGGGATGCAGATTGTGTGTGGTTCATGGTGCATCTCGCTGCTCGGAAATTTTCTTGACGTTGGTGGGTGACCTGGAGTCAATATAACCCGTTCCACGATCAACTGATCCTAACATGGGAGTCCTTGGGTTAGGAGACAAGTGGTCTAACAGCTCTTAAATGCTCCACCTGCACTACCAATTTTTGCACCTTTTTTTTTAACTTGCAAATTTCGCATTCGCTGTTAGCCTTTGCTTAAGATTTTACTCGCCCGAGGACCTGCACTGGACCCAGTCCCGCTTAAATTGGACCTAGTTCATTTCGAAACCCCGTTCAGTTTTTAAATCAGACCCAGTCTGACTCCAGCTGGTACACACCAACAGTTCCTACTGTGGAGTCTGAGGACTCGTGGAGGATTGTACCAGCAGAACTCCACACATGAGGACCGCAGCCTGGGGGCTCCACGTGGATGGGAAACTGCACTGCCACTTACAGTTCCCAAGTAGACGTAGACGCAGATTCAAGGGAACTGTGGAACCTGTGGCTTGGGGGATCACTCCCAGTGAGAGTTCACAGCGAGGCTGCAGGGGCACACACGGGGATGGGGGGGAGCTATGTCTCCACCACCCCAAGAAGTTCTCCTTCCCAGCCTCATTAGAGAAGTTACATCCTTCACACTTCAGATTCAGACCTCGAGTCTGGTCCAGAAAAGAAAAAGGTACTGAAAGGGCACTGACCACTGGTGGGGTGAGTGGCCAGCAAAGGGGACAGAGCAGAGGGAGGGTGAGCCCTGGGGCCTCCCGGAGAGGCTGAGAGTCCGTGAGGAAGCAGATCGAGGCCCAAGGAGGGGACAGGGGGCCCACCGGGCACTGTCCTGCTTGGGCTCCGGGGAACGGGCAGGGGTGGGTCCCCATGTGGGTGAACGGGCCCTGGGGGACGAGCAGGGGAGGGCCTGAGTCACAGCACCTGGCTGTCACCTGGCCCAGCTCCAGGACCCCTCACCATCTCTTCTCCCCCAGTCTAGGGACCGGAAGATGGTGGGCGATGTCACTGGGGCCCAGAGCTATGCCTCCACCGCCAAGAGCCTGAGCATCAGTGCCCTGGCCCTGGGCATCTTTCTGATCGTTGGATTGGTGTTTGCTTACCTGAAAGACTACCAGATGGCTTTACAGATGGCGAATAATAGAGGCTACTAGCCGCTGGACATGGAGGCAACCCAGTTCCTCCACCATCCACGGCCGGCCCTGCACCTGGGGCTGTGGGCCTGCCCCCTCCCCCCACCCCTTTATACAGCAATTTATGGAGACAGAGCTGTCGACAGCTGAATTCAATAAAGTGCACTCATCTGTGAAGGTGCTGTGATGTCCCCTGCGAGGGGACACTGCTGTGAGTCCCCGGTTGCCTCGGGGAAGCACAGAGCGCTCAGCTGTGGGCTGACAGCAGAAGCCCAGAGCAGAGCTGGTGACCCCGCCCCGGTCGACAGAAACCCCCAGAGGAAAGACCACTCCCTCCCACGCAAACGTGGCTGCCCTGCTGGGTGGAAGTGTCTCACAGACACTGGGGACCCTGGGGCATTGGGTGTGAGCCTGGGCTGTACACGGGGAGGTGGGGACCCGCCTCAGCCCAATACAGGGAGGGGCACCCCAGGCAGGTATTCCTGTCTCTGAGCCCCAGAGGGAGTGGGCGCAGGGGACGCACCCTACCGGCTGGCCCACCGCGCCCTGCACAGTATCCCAGGTGCGCTGTGCATCACCCGGGAGAGGCTGGAGGAGTCCAGGCGGCCACAGGCTGGTGCTGGGGCAGTGACCCTTCTCCACAGGCCCCTTGGGGATCCAGGCTCTTCTGGGCCCCCTCACGGGGCTGAGGTCCAGTCCTGTCCGGCTCTCATTGAGAGATGAGATTGAAATCCACTCTTCACAGTGGATTTCCTTCCGTCCTGGCACCTAGGACTCTAGACCCCAAACCCTCACAAGGCCCTACCTCGGGGGCTATGTAGGTTGGGGTCCTCCCTGGAAGACGGTGACTCAGACGAGGTTGCCCGCTCTCTCTTGGGTCCCACATGTGAGCTCGGGAGGCTCGGCCCCAGGGAAGCTGGTTCCCGGAGGAGGGGAGGCTGGAGGACCTGCCTCTCTGAGTCCAGGAAGGACACTCTCCCAGGCAGGGGGTGGGGGGACAGACGTATGACCCCAAACCCCCAAACCCCCGACCCCGGCTGGCTGACTAGGCACGTCCCACACCCCCCTGTCGGGTGGACAGCAGTCGCGAGGGGTGGGTGGCACTGACTGTAACCCCGTCAATCTTCACGGATTTGGGGTGAGGATCCTGCTAGGTGGCAGGCCAGCTTTGCCTGGAGTCTGGCCTGGAGGAAGTCTGCCCTTAGGATTCCTGAAGATGCCCCGCCCAGGTCTGGTCCCGAGGGAGTGAGGGCAGAGCAGGACAGACGCGCTCGGGGTGGGGGTGGGGGGGACGAACATCTCTCCTGGCCTCGCCCCTGGCTCCCTTCCTGAGCGCTGCTGGTCCGGGAAGCTTCCACCTGCCCAGCCCACCCAGCAGGGGTCTGAGTCGCTGGGCAGCGCCCCCTGCCGGACTCCAGGGCTTTACTGGCTGCGGGCCCCTCCTCACCTTGGCGTCAGTCCTTCCCAATCCAGAGGGGCAGGTCTGCCAGCCTCCCCTCCTCCCGGACCTCCTTGGGGCTGTCCCCTCCCTGCTCACGTGTGACAGACCCCCGGGGAGAGGGGCTCCCTCATGGCCACCCTGAGACCCCAGCCCCTTGGCCATCTCCTGGAGTCGGGACTGCAGCTGGGGACAGATAAAGGGGCGTGGGTGCGGGTCGGGAGGGGATCCACAGCTGGGGTCGGGTGTCAGGGTACGAAGGGGAGGCTAGGGCCACCCCACCTCACACCGCACCTGCCCAGCTGGTTGTGGGCAGGGTCTGCCCTGGGGCACCCCAAGTGCCCACACATCTAGAGGCCTGACAGAACCAGGGATGGGGGCTGATTTCCCGGGCAGGGCAGGGGTTTCTCCTCCTCCTGGGGGCTGTCTCTGCAGCGGTGGCCCGCGCACTCTTGTAGCCTTCCTGAGCTGACGGGGTCCGTGGGGCCATGGACCAGGAACAGCAAAGTGGAGACACATGTCAAAGGGTCTGCAAGGGAGCAGGGGAGCCACTGCGGACCTGGAATTTGCACACGTCCTGGCCGTCCTGGGACCACCTGGAACCTGTTGTCTTTACTCCCTGGAAGCCTCAGTTTAGCAGCCAATCAGCTGCTGACATGTGACCCACTGCCTGCTGGCACCGGTCCCGCTTCGTAAACAAGCCCTGTAACTTCTCTGGAATGTCTTTGTTGTGTTTAGAACCCCCCAGCGCTTGTACTTTCCTCGCAGCAGCAGCACGTTTGACTTGCTACTTGAATCTGCACTTCTCCGATTGCAAATCCTAAAACTCCAAATAAACTCTTTTCTTATTTGCGGGCTTCGTTTGTTTTGTTTTGTATTTTGTCAACAGGGTCAAGGGTGTTCTGGACCTGGCATGACCCTTCCCCAGAGGAAGGCACCACCCCAAACCCCTGTCCAATTGCTGCTGCCCCAGCTCAAGGCCAAAAACAGGCAAAGCCTTAGGACTTGGCAGGTCCCACTCAGAGCAGCAGAGCAGATGGGACGGGGGGGAGGGGCTCAGTCTCAGGGGCAGGCTGGGACTCTCAACAGGGCCCCCTCCCCAGGTCAAAACACAGCACCCGGGCTTCCCTGGTGGCGCAGTGGTTGAGAGTCCGCCTGCCGATGCAGGGGACACGGGTTCGTGCCCCGGTCCGGGAGGATCCCACGTGCCGCGGAGCAGCTGGGCCCGTGAGCCATGGCCGCTGAGCCTGCGCGTCCGGAGCCTGTGCTCCACAATAGGAGAGGCCACAACAGTGAGAGGCCCAAGTACCGCAAAAACAAAACAAAACAAAACAAAAACACACAACACCCTCACATACAAATGCTTTATTTCATTCAGCTGTGGACAGATGCGTGTGTAAACTGCAGTGAAAAGGGGTGACTGCCTCGGGCTGCCGGCAGCTACTAGTTGCCTCCATAATTCTGCATGAGCTGGGAAACCGCTTGAAAAATCATCACGGAACCAGTGGCGAAAACAACGATGAAGACGGTGATGAGAAGGATGCCCAGGACCAGGGCGCAGATGTTCAGGCACTTGGCGGTGGAGGCATAGCTCTGGGCCCCAATGACATCGCCCACCATCTTCCGGTCCCTAGACTGGGGGAGAAGAGACGGTGAGGGGTCCTGGAGCTGGGCCAGGTGACAGCCAGGTGCTGTGACTCAGGCCCTCCCCTGCTCGTCCCCCGGGGCCCGTTCACCCACATGGGGACCCACCCCTGCCCGTTCCCTGGAGCCCAAGCAGGACAGTGCCCGGTGGGCCCCCCTCCCCTCCTGGGGCCTCGATCTGCTTCCTCACGGACTCTCAGCCTCTCCGGGAGGCCCCAGGGCTCACCCTCCCTCTGCTCTGTCCCCTTTGCTGGCCACTCACCCCACCAGTGGTCAGTGCCCTTTCAGTACCTTTTTCTTTTCTGGACCAGACTCGAGGTCTGAATCCGAAGTGTGAAGGATGTAACTTCTCTAATGAGGCTGGGAAGGAGAACTTCCTGGGATGGTGGAGACATAGCCCCCCATCCCCGTGTGTGCCCCTGCAGCCTCGCTGTGAACTCTCACTGGGAGTGATCCCCCAAGCCACACACACACAGAACAATACACACAAGGGCTCTCCACACCCCACATGCCAGCCAGGCAGGGGGGGGGCCTCTCCAGGCTCACACACACTTCCTTGGAGAACCCCCCAGGCGCCCACCCACCTTCACGGAGTAGGCGAATGCCACGAAGCCCAGGCAGCACCAGTTCATGAAGATCGTGTTGAACAGGGACCAGACGATGTGGTCGGGCACCGAGGTCTCGCTGCGGATGTTGATCACCGTGGTCGTCACGGGGGCCTGGCTCTGGGGAGCCCCCAGCATGGCCACCTCGTGCTCCTCCTTGAGCATCTCATAGTTCGGGGGGATCCCGCTGTGGGCACCATTGAAGAACGGTTGGGATGTGTGGTTCATGGTGGACATGAGGCAGCTGTGATCCAGGTGCCTGGACAATCTCAGGGGTCCTCCCTTTCCCCAGTAGTTTCGATTTCACTTAAGTTTCCTTTTCCTGGAAGTTGGGGAATTGGGGATGGGCTGGTCCTAGGAGGCGGGATGAATACCTCCGAGTGTCAGGTTACACCAGCGTGAGTGGGAGGAAGGCTGAGGGCTTGGAGGGAGCTTCCCGTCCCAGAGGCTGGAAGGGGCAGAAGACTTTCCTTCTACCTTCCCAGGTTCTTGGTTGAGACCCCACTGTAATAAAAAGACAGTTTAACAGAAGAAAAACAAATAAAAGTTTAATAACATGTATACCTCCTGTATACATGGGAGAGACCCAGGAAAACTGAGTGACTCCCCGAAATGCTAAAGCCACCACCTTAAATGCCACCTCCAGCTAAAGACAGAAGGTGTTGCGGGGTGGGGAAGAGAGGCCCCTCTGGGAGGTGACAAGGAAAAGCACATAAACAATGGTAAGGTTTCCTGCGGAGCTTCTCCATCCACAAGAGTCTCTAGAAATGTGGCCGTCCCCCTCATCCCCACACAAGAGGAGACACACTTGCATGGAGGTTTCCCTTGTACGTGTAAATGTCTTTCGAAAGGCTGACTTCTCCCAGGTGTCCTATTGCTTAAAAATAAGCAGCTTAAAGTAATCAATATGGCAAAGAGGCACATTTGGGGTAATGAGTTCTGCTTCCCTTCACACCCGAGCCAGGCCCTGTCTCAGCCACCCCACCTCCCTACTTAGGGGTGTGGTCGGGCCCCGGGACGCTTCCCCAGCCCGGGGGTCTCAGGCCCAAGCCTGCTGCAGCCCCGCTGTCCTCACGCAGGGCCCCTCCCAGAGTCTCACTCAGCCTCCACACCCCAGCCCCCAGAGCGAGCCCTGGCCCACGGCCCGCCCCTCACTGCACCGCCCTCCCCTCGGAAATGCACTGGCCTTCCCGGCCCTGAGTCCCTGCTCCAGGCTGGTCTGGGTCCTTCCTGATTGCAGGTCAGCAGCCAGTAGCCTGGGTGGCCTGCCCCAAAGGAGCCTCCCATGATCTCCCAAGGGCTCCCGGGTGTGGGGACACTGGGCTCCACGTGACCTGAGGAGGCAGCTGTGGTGGGAGACCCCAGGGTCCAGAGCATCTGGTGGCAGCTAGGAGCCCAGGGCCTGCATATTTGCTCAGCCCTGTCGTTCCTTCCTCCTTCCCGTCCCCCCCCCACACATTTGATATACCGACCAAGGAGCTTAAGGGGCAGCATGGAGGGGCCTCGGGAAGGGTCAGTGCCTCCACCGCCCAGAGCCTTCCTGAATTACACGCTTTCCTCTTACTGACTCTGTCCACCCCACAGCAAGATGGTGACATCGGAGCAGAGAACGGTGTGTGTCTTGCGGTGAGGCCGTTCCGGTGTCTCAGGGGCAATGAGCGCTATGCTGTTTCCCCGTCACAAAGAAGTAACGCACATAGTAGGCCTGGCCCCTGACCCGCCTCTCCCGCAGCCCCCCTCCATGCCGATGTCCATCTGGCTCCCCCCAGCCCCTCCTGCTCTGCCGTCTGAGAGACCCCACCCAGGGCAGGGTGGCTGCCTTTTCTCCAGGAGCTTCCAAGTCCCCTGTGCCCTCCCCTTGTCAGGCTGGGGGAATGAACTTGGTGGCCGCCCTCCTGCTGCCCCACCTGGGGGTCCTCCCTGCCAGCTCCCACTCCTACAACAGCCTCCAGGGTGGCTCTGCTCCAGCGCTTCACAGTGGCCACCAGGCCCGGGAACGTGGAGGGTTCCAGTGGAGAAAAGATGTATGCATAAGTCTCATATCAGCTGTCCTTGAAAGCTTCGTGAGAAAAAAATAATTTTTTGTTAAGATATAAAATATTTCATCAATAATATCGTTCATGGGGCTTCCCTGGTGGCACAGTGGTGAAGAATCCGCCTGCCAATGCAGGGGACACGGGTTCGAGCCTTGGTCCGGGAAGATCCCACATGCCGCGGAGCAACTAAGCCCCCGCGTGCCACAACTACTGAGCCCGCACGCCACTACTGAAGCCTGTGCATCTAGTCCACAATAAGAGAAGCCACCGCAGTGAGAAGCCCGCCCGCCGCAACGAAGAGTAGCCCCCGCTCCCCGCAACTAGAGAAAGTCCACGCGCCACAATGAGGACCCAACGCAGCCAAAAATAAATAAATAAATTTATTTATTTATTTAAAAAATAATACCTTTCATTAATGATATGTTGTTATAATATTTTCTATATTTAGGTTCAAAGAAAACAGATCCTTAAAATAAATCTCACCTGTTCTTTTTCTCTCTTAACGTGGCTACTGGAATAGTTTAAATTGGGTTTGCAGCTCACACTCTACTATGCGCATGCCCTGGTGATCTGTAGGCAAAAGAACAGAGGGTCTGACCCCTTCTACTTGCAACAGTAGGCCCCAGAAGGGACATGTCATCTTGTGGAGACGCCCCTCCACCAGCTCCCCAAGTCTGAGGTCCTTTCTCAGGCGGGGCAGGGTCTCTCGGAGTCTGTGCTGGGTCCCTGCGCAGCAGGCGAGGTGGTGGAGGCAGGAGGGGATGGTACAGCTGGCCGATCCCCTTGGAAGGTGCCATTCCTCTGCAAAGTTTCAGGGGTTTTACACAACTTTTCCTAATGAATTTCCAAGGACCAATAATCAGAGAGACCAGAACAACCTGTAACAGTTAGGGTCACCTAGCTTTCTAACTACACAGGGAAACGAGATCCATCTGTGAACCTGCTCAGATTAACACGGTATAAAACCAGATATTGAACATGTCTAGGATGTAGAAAGATACCTCTTCCTTTTGTTAAGCCTAGCCTCTGGAGTTGCATGAATTAACATTTTAAGGAAAAAGCAAGTCTCTACAGGGCCTCTTGCTGGCCAAAATGGAGTAGAGAATAAACAGAGTTCTGCTTCACAGAGAAATCAGGAGCACAGAGCATCCGCCGTGGCCACAGGCACTCTGACACGCTGTCCTTGAGGAGGTCCCCTCTCTTGGAGGCGTGAGGGCCAGCCCCTCGGGGTGGTGCTGATGCTGCAGCGCCCAGTCGCAGCTGGTACACGGCGGAGCGACAGCGGGCAGGGAGCCCGCGCTCACAGACCAGCTGCCCCGGGACCGCAGACAATCAGCACAGACGCGAGAGCAGTCGGAGGCAGGGCCGGCGGGGCCGCCGTCTTCCGGGAGTTTCGGGGGAGGCTCTGGTCCCTCACACCCTCACTCCCAGTGCGCGGAGCGCGGAGCCGCACCCCGCCACCCCTCCCCCACCAAGTCCCGCAGCACCTGGGACGCGGGCGCAGGTGCGGGGTCACTCGCGGGCATCACGCGGACTCCGCACATCCCTGTGGCGGTCACGAAGCCCGCGATGGGAGCTTCACCCTGGGCCCCGGGGGTGAGGGGGACCCGCCGCTGACGGCCGCCAGCCCACCTCAGGTGGCAGCAGAAGCTGGAACAGAGCTTTCTTGGCCGCCGTTAAGATCCCAGATCACTCGTCGTCAGAGCACCGTGCAGCTCGCCCCGACCGCCGCGGCGCAGCGCCGTAAACGCGCCTCGGGCCCGGGCCCGGAGGCCGCAACGAAAAGCTATGTTCCCGAGGCGGGAGAGATCCAACCCACGTGGAGAAGCGTGATGTGAATTTCCTGTGTCAGCCCGGCCGGGGCGCAGGGCCCAGACGCCGGGTCAGAGGTTATCCTGGCGTGTCTCGGGGGGTCTTCCTGGATGACCTTCACTTTGAAAGGTGCGCTGAGTAAAGCAGACCCCCTCCACAGTGTGGGCCGTCTGTCCAACCCCTCCGAGGGCCGAGTAGGAGAGGGCGGAAGAGGGGAGAAGCTCCTTCCGACTGGGCCCTGGCCTCAGCCTGGCAGCCCCGTGGCTGCCCTGGTCCCCCTCCTTATGACAAGTCTCATCTAAGTATACGGGGGTCTGTTTCTCCAGGGAACCCCGACTAATACAAGCAGCGAGGAAAGGGAGGGTCAGCTGGCTCCCTGTGATATTTGGAAGGCGGACCAAGAACCTAGAACCCTGTAGCCCTAGAACCCCCAGCTGCTGGCTGCCAAAGGCCCATCGCATGCTGTTCACTGTTGGCTGCGTGTTCTGGCCTCTGGGCTCAGAGAGAAGGGCTGGCGGGTGGGCAGGAATGAACGGAAATAGAGAAAGTCCAGGGCAGGGACTTGGGGGTTAGAAGAGCGATAGCTTCTCAACCAGAAGCAGTGAAAGATAAAATCACAAAGCTCTCGAGTTATACTCCAGTCAGGGCGCAGCTTGTCCACGTCAGCCCGACACGCCCGGTTACCTGCCTCGAGCGGGGGGGAAGGTGGGCGGGAGGGGTAGGGGGTGAAAATGCAGAGAAAAGCAGCAGAAACGAGAACTGTGGGAAAAGGAGCTCCGGGCATGACTTTGACATCTGAACCTGACTGAAATTAAGTCCAAGTTTTAAAAGTCGATTACACATATGAAAGAGTGATACTGTCGCCCCCAAAATCATCGGCCTGGACCCAAAGAGACTGTGCTGGCTCGAGACTTAAAATAACCCTGGGACCCCGACTCTCTGTGGGCGAGAAGGGGATGGGAAAGCTTTGGGGTCTCCAGTGCCCACCTCAGCACCCAAAGGCCATGCAGAACGGCAGGTGGTGTGCCCCCGCCGGTCTAGTCCAGGAGTGCATCCACCCTGGGCCGGGGTCCTCAACACAGCCACCCGGAGGACTTCGGACCCCACGTCCGTGTCCACCGCCTTTCTGCTGCTCAGTTGACACTGCGGGTTTGGGGTCAGTGATCTGGCCTTTTAGCCGTGCTCCTTGCCAGGAGGCATGGCTAGGCCTCCTTCGCATCACTTTTGACCTTCGTGGGGCTGGAGGAGACTTTGGGATGGTCCCCCTGGGGGAGAGTGTATTTCGCACACAGGAAGGAGCGCCCCCAGGTCTTCCTGACCAGGTGTGAATGTGGGGTTCCTTAGTGCCGCCCAGTCCAGGCGTAGCCAGGGTGTGAGTCCCCGAGTGGCCTTCCTGTGCCTCCAACCTGGAGGTGGCACCTCCCCTGGTCGCTGCCTGACCGCGGGAAGCAGCGGCCCCGCGCCCCTCCTGGGGGTGTGGTCAGATCAGGACTTAGGGATTTGGGGTTGTCTGTTGCAGCCTGTCCTAAGCAATGCGTCCTTCCAGGCGGCTGCCTGCAAGCCCC